GTATCCTTTCTTTCTCGTTACCTAGAGTTTTGCAATAAAAAACAAAGTAACATAAAGACAAAAATTTGAAATAATTAAAAATATTTATTTGTAAAGAAATTATATTAGATATGTTCTGTGTTTAGCCAACGTTCTGGTGTGCGATGCCACGCAGCTGCGTTGTATTGATATTATAAAAAAAAACTCTTTTTGCAGAGATATGTACCGTCCAGATGCAACTGCACGCGCTTTGCAACGATGCTTATTACGCTGCGGAGAAACTAAACACTTTAGAAACGTAATTATTGCAGAAAATATTGCGCAGCTAAGAATTTAATTGTTTCGTAGATACCTTTCTTGCATCACAATACTTGTTTCTTCAGAAAAAATGAATCTGATACAATGTTATCGACGACCACTCTCATTGTCCGTAAAGTTTCTACAGAGCATAATAAGTTAATTGTAAATTAATTGTTAATTATTAATTGTGTTAATTATAAGTTAGTTGTATAAATTGATGCGTCACTAGAGAAAGTCGTACGATGAGTGAGCTATTGATTACACTTTTAAGTTAAATTATTACATTTATTACGAAAAGAAGTCAGAGAGACATTTTTGTTTTGGAAATCCTAAAGATCTCTTCTTTACTTTTGGATTCTTCCTCATCCTATGTTGTATTATTTTCTGTTACAGTCACAGTCGACGGTGCGGCAGACTTGTTCCTCGGCGCCAGCGTGCTCTCGTTCACTTCTACTACGCCACTCTGCGTATGTGCTATCGTGCGAAGCGTAAACTGCATGGAAAAAACGCGATAGTTGAAAATTCGCGAAAAATTGCAATAAAAACGCGCGCATTTTTATTTCGAGTTCACAATAATGCGATTTGTAAGAATTTAACTCTTCCGTAAATATCTCTCTTGTATAATCAGATATAATGTTCGTTCCTTCAGAAATCTGTACGATAAAAAGTTGTGTCAGTATTCAATATGGTTCTACATTTGCCCACAAACGATTATATACAAGTCAGCACGATGGATTTACTTAAAAAATACTGTTTATTGCAAAACAAGTTGCACATCTCTCTTTGATGGGACATAATGCAAAATAAATATCATTATACATACAAATATACATACGTTTGTAGCACAGCGCGTCAACCTATCAATGATTGTACATAGATTTTTACAACTTGGGTTTAAAATCTTCTGTTGAATGTCTCTCGCGTTGTAGATTCTGCCGACTATGATTATTATTAATTAAAAGGATGCTAAAATGTCGCTGATGGAGTTCGAGGTTCCTTCGCGGCAGCCTCGAAAGTCTCGACAAACGCTTTCTTCTGAGACTCTTTGGATAACTGGAAAACACACGGTCAATAAAACGAAAGTAGCCACAATGTAATTTGAAATAAAGTGAGAAAAATTTTAATTCACCTTATGATAAAAATCTGAAGCGGCTATACACAACATTTTCTTGTCTTCGTACTCGTACTTTCCTATCCTCGACTGAACATACGGAAATCTGTCATATTTTAGTTAAGGAATCCATGTATTTCACTGCAGAAAATTAGAAAATTCCATCGCGTCGGAAAAGGATACAGAGCTCTCAACCAATGATTCGTCGATGCGCTTATAAAGAAGCAGGACAAGCACCAGGTCGACATCGCCACCGGCAGGCTCTGAATGAAATTCGGTAAGCTGAATACCACCCAGTCTTGCAGGAGCTCCATTTCCGTGCAGGTACACGCTTTCTCACAGACCTGGCGCAAAATCAGGATAGTTTCATTCGCCCTTTATCACGCGGTACAGTTCGGTTGGTCGGTTAATTTCATTCTTTTGTCATTTTTTTACGAACTTTGAAAACAACAGCGGAGAGTAACCTCGGGTGCGGTCGTTGCGGGGACAGAAACTCCCCTATGACTTTGGTCAGGATCTCCGACGGCGGGAAAAAGTCACCGAGGACGCCAGACAGTACCGTGCATAGGACCTCCACCTCCATGGGATGACCCTTGCGGATCTTGTCGAATATCGCGGAGGTGCGTTCTATGGAGCGGACCAGCGTCTCGGGCTCCACGTCCGGCAGCGGCTTCTCAGCGCCGGGCTGATTCAGTCGGTCGGCCGCCTCCGTGTACATGCACGTCAGCAGAAGCTGCAGAGCCGGCAGCGCCAGCAACGGGCTCGGCTGTTTTAGTCGATCCATCGCGACCTTCACGATTTGCTCAGCGACCTTGCCGACTACGCTTTTCGTTGCCACAAGCCTCTCCAGACCCTGGTGGAACAAATTGAACTTTAATATTGCACGAAGCGAGGCGAGAGACCGTAATGTTACCTGCAGCAGACTCTGATGTAAGCCGTAAGAGATGTTCTGAGATGTGACTAGAGAAAGGACTAACTCCAACACGGCCGGCGCTTCCGTATCCGGCGGTGTGTCTTCCGCGTGCTCCAACAGGAAGAATACCAGCGCCCACATTATTCCCTGATGCTCCTCGCTTTGATTCAAAACGCTGAGACACGAATTCGATTGAAATAGGATGCAAGTAAATCAAGAAATTTTAAATAATTCATTAATTAAATTTTCCTTAATCAAAAACTACGTTTATTAATTGTCATTATCAACGCTTCTCTACTTATGTACTAAATTAATTTTTGTTTGTTTGTAAAATTCACACTGAAGATGGCCACATTCCTTGGCCGAAACATATGTATTAATTTGTGATAAAAATGAATTTTTGAGCAATTCGACCCAGCTCTTGCTCTATTTGCTTTATATTAACACGATTTTTAATTTAATTAAGGAAGAGCAATAACCTAATATTATTTGTAATTTTCATTAATTAAAATTAAATTAAATTCTATTGAATTATACCCATTCGAATCTTGCGAGTCAATGTGCTTCTGAATGTACTCGATGGCTAAGGGATGTATAATGTTCATCGTTTCCTCGCATTTAGCTAACACCGCACTCTGCAGTAAGTACAGAGAACCGTGAAGCGCGGAAATTCTGGAAGCCAGGAATCCCGATTTCAAATTCATGTCCACTATGCGCTTCACTTTATCCAATGTATCCAAATCCTGCGAGGTAGAATTTAGTGAACAACGAAATAATCGCGTCCTTTATTTCGTACAGATATGGAAATTCTCAAATAAACCGGTCGTGCGTACCAATGGCGTCAAAACGGCAGCGGCTTTGCAGACGGAAATGGCCAAGTATTGATGTAGGATTGCGTTCTCCGTCGGATGAACCCTCGAGATTTCCAGGCACACGTCCAGCATCCACTGATACTGCGATCTTTCGAGAAAGAGTTCCGAGATCGCGAGAATGGACTTGATGATCTCCGTCAGCAGTTGCACAGGCGTGTTGGCCTGCGGCGACATCCAGATGGTGTAATGCTCGATGAGGAAACGCAGGCAGGAATCCAGATCGAGGGACGCGGACATCAGCGCGTCGTTTCTCCTGTTCTTCAGATCGAGAACGGAGGCGTTCAGCTTGTCCTCGTACAAATTGCACAGCGACCACAAGTAAGAGACTGACAGTTGGCTGTACGTGAATCTGTCGAAAGTCGCGGTCCTCTCCACGTTTCCTCTTTGAAATATATGATCCAGCTTCAGGCCGCTTTTACCCTCCGCGTCATTCATGTACTCGTACTTCCACAGAAGCAGCTCCTGTATCGCGTACAGTTTCTGGGAACTGATCTTGTGAACGGAGAGCTGAGGATCTCTGGGATGGTGAATCTGCGTGCTGGCGCCGGGATTGCCGGGACACGGCAGCAGCAGAGTTTGCAGCAGTAACCTCGTGATCGCCTGGACCGCGAGGCCGCTCGCTTGAATCAGAGCGGCCACCTCGTCCGACGGCGTGTTCTCGTTCTGCAGAAAGTTCAGCACGCTGAGAAACGCCATCCAGATCTCCTCGAACTGCGACCTCGACGTCCAGCCCAGCAGATTCACCCGGTAAATGAACTGCTCGAGGATGTCCACCTCCTGCAGAAGATTGGATTCCGACGACGGCAACGGAAAGTAGCACTTCGTCGGGCTCGTGCCGACGACGTTGCAGCCGCGTCTCCACACCAGAGGCGGCGTCAGGATGTAAGAATTCACCAGCGGCTGCCGGCTCACGCTGACGACGAGCGATTTTATCGTGTCGAACAGGTACGGCGGAATATTCCTCGTGGAGCCTTCCGTCTGACACTTCTCGAGCCAGGCCACTATCGACGCCATTTGGACGCACGCCCGGGCGTAATCCTTCGTGTCCTCGTCTCGGAGCGCCGGCTCCAGCGCCTGAGAATCCACGGTCGGCAGGGGGTCCATCGTCGTGAGCACGCTCTCCACGACTTTCGTCAGCGAGATCGCCGCGGAGCAGACCCAGGTGTAACGCGTGCTGTCCCCGACGATCTTACTCGGTGCGGCGTGCCGCAGAATCTCAGCGGCGCAGCTCAGCGCGAGGTACATGTCGTGCGGCCGCAATTTGCGAACGCTCTTCCGGTCGGAATAGATGATCCAATGCGCCAGCTCGAGGCACAGCATGGAGAATTTGGCGATGTCTTCCTCGAACTTGACGTCGATCTTCGCCACGTTGTACTTGGCCAGTTTCGGCAGCGTCCTCATGTAGATTTTCACGGTCGGAATGATCGTGAAGAGGATCTCCCAGTAGAGAGAGTCGCTCAGCAGCTCGGAAAATCTAGCGGCGTACTTCAACTCCTTGCCGCTGCTGCTGTCCGCCTCCGGATTGTAAATCTGATGCGGCTTCGGCACGAGCTCGCAGATATAATGGATGTGCTCGAGCAAGCACTGCTTGGCGGCGACGTACAGCGGGCTCGCGTCGAAGTGAAAGTCCTTCTCGCTCTGCGCTTGCCCGAATTCCAGCTTCTGGCACCTCTCGACGCTGAGTCTGGCGCCCAATATTATGCAGTGCTTCAAAATTTTCAAGTTGAATTCCTTGCACGACAGGATGTTCAAGCAATCGTCGAAGTCCAGATCCTGCAGCAGCTGCGCCAATTCCATGGGATTGTTGCCGGCGCTGGCGTGGCAACATCGCAATCGCACCTGAGACAGGAACCAGTTCCGGTCCAGCTGGATGCTCTTCACGGTGGACGGATTGAACGGTCTGCACTGGTCGAGCTCCAGCGGCGACAGATCGTAATACTGCACGGCCAGCTTGTTCAACAGGCTGACCAGGCCGCCGTGCTTCCTCGCCAGCTTGGTGGTCTGCAGGATGTCCATGATCCTCACGATGTCCTCCTTCGACAACTGGCTGACCACATCCTCCGCGTTGCTGGTCAACAGTATCTCGACTCTGCGGCTGGCAATTTTCGCCGCTATTCTCGACAGAGCGAGATACTTGGTCGACAACAGCCTTGGTATCAGGGTCATTATAACCGCGCCGCTCTGCGAGTGATGCGCGCCCTCGACGCACTGCAGCAAACGCTTGATGAAACTCGGCTGCGACAAGTCCGTGCACTTGGTCGCTATCGCCTGCACCAGCAGCCCGCTGGCCGCCGGATTTCGGTGTATGGCCGTCGTCAGCAGATCTCTCACCGGAGATTCGGTGGCAATGTTTACAGCCTCCTCTATGTGGTTCACCAGCAGCCACGTCAGCGGTTCCACGTCGTTGAGATTCTCGCATATGTAGTCGCAGAACAATATGATCCCACCTCGTCTGATAATCTGAATATTTATATCACTGTTCGCGTAATCGCGCGTCTTTCTCTCACTCGGCTGGGCGTGAGTGATGTAATCGGACTTGCCGGTGCCCAGCACTTTCGACCAGAAGGACATCTCGTTGTATCCCAACAGGATCATCAGGTAAGCCCACTGGCACGTCACCGTCGGGCACACGTTTCCGATGCTCAGCATCAAGTAGTTGAGATCGTCGATGAGCAGCTTCTCCTCGTCGGGCACGTTGCGTCCTTGGATCATCTGCATCGTCGCGTTCGCCACTTTGCAATGACTGCCGGACTCGAACATGTGAATGCACAGTTGCAAGAAGAACGCGAACTGGTGCACCAAGTAATTGTCGTCGGCCGTGTATTCGGAGAAGCCGACGAAAGGATCCGCGGCCTTATGATTGATCAGACCGAGCAGATTGAACACCTTCGCGCTTATCAAATTGATCACTTTGAATATAAACTTCGCCAGTATCTGCTCGGGTAGCACCTGACGCGACTGAATACTCAGGACATTCAGAGGGTCCGTGCTCTCTTGGGAAGAGGAGGAATCCTGGGGCGGCGAGAATAGATGCGACACGTCCGTCATGCATACGCTGAGGTCCGAGAGACGCGCCAGCATCGCCTCCTCCTTCGCGCAGGAGATCAACGACAGTAGCACGACGTTGATCATGCCCAGCCATCGTTTCAGGCTCAGAGTCGAAGCCGTCGTGGATATCGACGCGGTGAACAGTATCTTCAGAAGTGGATCCACCGGTCGGAAAACAGTGGGCGAGATAGCCGCGAACAGTTTCACCAGCGCGACGTGCGCCTTTTCGGATTCGATCTTGAGCTTGCCAGCGGCCAGTATCGGAAGCACAGTGTCCATCGTCAATCTGGACCACCTCCGCCACTTCTCCTCGCCGTTGCCGTCCCCGCTGAATCTCGATTCAGCCAGGCACAGCGCTAGAAGCTCGACCACCTCGTAATACTCCACCAGACGCAGCAACATCGCTATCAGCACGTCTCTCGTTGTCTCCAATTCCCGCTGCTCGATCACGCTCGAGCTGCCGTTACGCACGAGAAATATGTCCTCGATGACGGGCGCGAGCGCGGGTATGCAATGCGAGATCGCCGGCTGTCCGCTCGCCATCAGACCGTCGCACAACTGAATTATCTTCGGCACGCCTATTATCGCCTTGGAATGATTCTTCTCGTAAGACAGATGCACCAGGAAATTGAACATCTTCGGCAGAAGTTCCTCGGTCTGCTGTATGTGGCCCTCCTCGATGAACTCGAACTGCTTCAACACGAATCCGATGAATATCTTGTCCGAATCGAGCAGGCAGTAATTGACCTTGAGTTGAACCAGTTGACTGAGCAGCATCAGAACTTGACACTGTAACGAGATGTTGCTCGTGACGGTGTACTGTTTCAAGGATTTTATAACCATCGGCTCGAAGAGCCGGATGAAGGACGCCACGGATGTCTTCTGGTCCGAGGATCGCGCCAAGTTCTTGAATACCGACGAAAATTTGCGATCGCCTTTTCTCCGCAGCAGTCCTATCCACCTGGAAGAAAATATCAATATATTGATTCGCATCGATTACGCGCCTGTTCAGAGCGTCAGAGTGACACTCACCCCGTGTCCGGCTCGTTCTCACCCCTGCAATTGTTCCCTATGCACTTGATCGTGTTCGCCATTTGCCTGGCGGGATGCTGGAAGCACTGGTTGTAAAACCCTCTGACGTCATCCTGCAGCGTTCCGTACTGATCCATCCTCTGCACGTCCAGCTCGCTCCACTGCGCGCACACATTCGTGCTGAACAGACACTTGAGCAACTGCTGCACGCACTGAACCGTTGCCGTCGGCGACAATATGACGGTGGTTTTCAAGTAGCACAACACTTCCTCCGTTATTTTACCTGCCTCGTTGACGGACGCGATTTCGAGAATCTGCGAGAGCACGTCGAGCGTCGCGTTCAGCAGAGAAACGTACATTTCGCTGGCCTCATGCTGCAGAGTTACCAAATAATTGGAATGCGCCGCTTTCAGAATGTCGTAGATCTTCATGTAATGCGGCATGCCGACGAACGTTCCCGTGAACTCCTTCCCGCTCCTCAGACCGCCGATCTTCTCTCCCTTCTCCTTTGACTTGTGCTCCGACAAAATCTTCTTTCTGGGTGACAGCGTTTGCGCGGACGACAGGGATGGCAATACGGGCTTGGCGCTGGCTTGCGCCAGTTGCACCTCGTCGATGACGTGGACGAAGATGTTGAGGACTCTCGTGATGTGCGTCAGCAGCAGTTCCATGTACCGATCCTTGTACATGCTCCACAATTTTGTCGGATCGCCGCCGGTCTTGAAGTTGCAGACGGCTAATCCGGAAGCGAGATTGCCGGCGAGGAGGATCAGGTGTCTGTGCGTGGACGAATCTAAGCTAATGCTCGATGACGTCAGCAAGGGCAGCGCCAGTGACAAGAGACCGCTGCCCACCGGAGAGGAAGTCATCTCGTTCACGAAACTAATATCGCCCGTGTCCAATCGATCGCTGCTCTTTTTCGATTTCTTCAGCAGCGTCTTCGGCAGAATGCAGTCCCATCCTCTCACGTAAATCGTCGTAGGATAAGTCTCGCTCAAGCAAAAGAGAGTCTCGCAGCATCCGTATATTAGATATTTCGAAGAGTGCACCGCCAACATCTCCGTCAGAATGTTAACTATACGAGATAAAGAATATTCCACACTGGAATTGTAATTCGCTCCGCTGTAGTGGTTTAGAAATACAAAGGGCTTGATGGACGTGTTCATGAACGGTTTATGCTTATCTTGGCACAATGACAATTCTGAAATGCTTGTCGTTACGGTGCTTAAAAACTGCTGAGTGTATTGCGTGGCCTTCTTCGTAACGGTATCTTCTTGAGGATGTCGGAAGTATAAATATGGAATACTTCTGAAATAACAAAAAAAAAAGTGAAATATTAATATTATGTTTATATATTAATTATATTACAATAAAAGAATGATAAAATTGTGAATGTATCTTACTTAACGATGGCGTCCGACGCGGCGTGTCTCACTCTTTGGTCCTGATCGCCTAACAACGCTATTATAACATCGATAAAATGCTCTTGAAATAACGATTGTCCCGTTATATGTTCTATTGTGATATACGATAATTTACTCAGCAGGTCAACTAATTTTACTTTCACTAAAAAATATGGATTCTTCGTGAGTTTTGGCAACGCAGTTAAGACAGTGAGACCATGCTCGTGATTGATAGAGTCTAGTAGCTCTGGTAAGCAGAGATTCAACGCGTCCAACGTTTGGCGGCAGGTTGTCGCAGAACTGTCATTTAAGCCCTGCACATTTGAATAAAAATGAATGTAAAGAGTTGAAAATCCAAAGGGGAAAAAAATTAAGGACACAAGTCATCTCATAAAACATATCGACTTACTTTTAAAAGTAAATTGATCATATCTGTAAGCAGTATCTTTCCATGTCCCTTTTGGGCGGAGCATTCCGTCTCAAAGTTTTGAAAGGAGCCGCCGTATTGAACGAACACGGACTTTAGAAAGATTCCAATCACCATCGCTATATTGCCTCTGATCTGAGGATCGGAGTGATTGGCAAATAGCAGAATGTCTGCGATCAGTTGGTTCGTCTCGCTGCAGCCCGACTCTTTCGTCACGGTCATCGTGAATAAGTGCGGGTAAAGCTTCAAGATGTAACCCACGCACGTCAGAGCGAGTGACTTTACACTAACGCGAAACAACTTGTCCGAAACCAAGTGCCCGGGTTTGCCTGTCAACAAGAAAGACGACACCAAGTAACGACAGCAAAACTTCACGGGCATATCCGAGTCGGTGAAATTTCCAACGTCCGTCTCGTACAATGCGAAATCCAAAGGAAACTTCTTGGGGGAGGCGAACGACAAAGTGGCATCTTCGGAGCAATCGTCCTCCTTCGACAATTCACTCAGCAGGCTTGAATACGGCGCTCTCTCGGACTTCTCGATCTCGCTCCCGACATCGCTACCCTCCTCCACAGTCTCGTCTAAAAAATGTTGAAAGCTAATGTTTGTATAATTATTATGCAAATTACATTCACGGGCATGCTCTTACTATCAATGGCTCCGATCTTCAGACCGCAATAATTTTCCGATATTTTCTCTTTCGTTTCAATTACATTGTTTGCAGGTTCATTCTGCGTTTGTGGATTGCACGCAGCCGGCAACGCCGTTTCCGTATCTGCAATCCATTTATCTATGTTCGGAGTGATTTCTGGAACATCAGGCTCTTGCAGGTTTAAAATAGAATCCGAATTTCCACCGTAAGCGGTACTCGCACTGGAAATACTCATTTGACCCAATGATGGAATGCACGCATTTTGATTCACTATTATCCTGCTTTGCGTTATGCCTTCTGTAGACAATAAAATTGACACCAATGGCTTTGGAGGCGTTTTTAAAAGCTGTGCCAGAGTCTCTAAAGCTGCATTTATAACATTGTGATCCGAGTGCCATTTTGTATAGTGCAAACACAGTTCATAAATATGTAACAAACTATCTATCTGTTGTGCCTCGACACTTTCTGGCTCTGAGGGTTTACATATATGAGGTAAAATCATTCTCAAGCATCCAAACACGCCTATGATAGTAGACGAGTGATCCTCGGCATTTCTCACTGGCATTATTATATCTGATAGGACAAATAATATCGATAAACATTTTTGTACATATTTTTGTGAATATTTGTATATATATGGCATGTTATAAATATTTATCTCACCTAACAGATGATTCAGTACATAATTTAAAAAGAATTGAGGTTTTCTGCAGTTTATGCATGTTGCTAGAATCATATTTGCCGCTGCTCTACGAAAAGCCGCTTGAGGCGAGGAAATATTCTCGAAGAACGCTCTTAGCAAATTCTAAAACAAATTTAATTCTTTTTGAGTGATCATGAATAACCTATGCAATCATAATATCAATATATTTACCTTGACATCCTTATCTGTCATAAATGGTCCTAACACTTTAAAAATTAATGGTAATGACTGCGATAACGTTTCTATCACAATATCTTCAGATCGATGCGCAATAATCACTATACATGGTATCAGATTTGACACATAAGCTTTGCCTCTTGAGGGACGTATCATGTGACTTAGCAAACCGAATCTCCAAAGAGCAGCCCTCAGTACACGCGCAGGCCCATTTCTCTTTATCTCATTGTAAAGTTCTATCTGAATCTTAACGATGTTACTGTCCACCATTACCTGATAAACAATATAATCAAAAATATATATTTGCACAATGGATTATGTTGGAATGTTAACTTCTTGACACATGTTACTTTCTGATATTTCATTTATGACTTATAAAAATACGCAAGTAAGCATTATACCCTTATAATTTTATTGAGAGATTCATCTGCGACCATTCTGACGTCCGACTCGTCATCGTTACACAAAGCTAGCAATGTTTCAATAGCAGGAGTGAGAACTTGTGGAAATTTAGGATTTTGTCTGACAGTTAGTGAACATATTCCTTCAACGATGACTGTACAACATGATATCTTCTCCTTCCTATTGTCCAAACAAGAAAATACTATTTCAGTAAGGAATGCTAGCAGATTTCTTTCTACTGTCAAAAAATGTTTATTATTAATACCTTGCTCCGGAATCTGACGGGATGTCCGATTCTCGTAGCGCATTTAACGTTTCCACAGCCTTCAACACGTTGTTTAAATGAGCCATATCGACTCAGAAACCCCGCGAGTTCTTCGGAAAATTTTTTTAAATAACGTATTCGATAAATGACATCTTATCACTCCTGGCCGCGAAATTTTGACAGATCATGATCGAACATCACAACAACCACATCACTACATGTTGGCCGATGCCATATTAAATTTATGATGCGTTTTCAACGCGCGTATTCAAATTTATCATTACGACCAATTCGCACAGGTGTGACGAAAATATTTATGAAAATTAGCTGAATCTAATAGCGTTTTCGATTTTACGGATTTTGATCAACCCAAGATTGATCCATCACTATTTCACTATAAATCCAATTCTAAAGATATCTTTTTTAGAATGTTTTTAGCACATCCTAAAGATGTTTTATTTAGGACGGTTTTCTAGGACGTTCGTAGACCTCCTTATGTTTATTATATATATAATATATATTAGTATTATGCTCTTTCGCAGGATGCAAAAGTTTATGCCGATTTGATAAGAAAGGAGACAGAAAAAGTATGTCTGCTCTTTTCTTGTGTTCGAAGCTGAAGCGTGGAGCTTACATGTACATGACTTGCGCATGTGTGCGATATTCCCTCTCTCATGCTGCGTGTTGCATGCGTCTCAAATATGGCGTCACTGCACTCAGCTGAGCTGAATCAGCTGTCAGTTTGAAAAGTGGTTGTATTCGTACGTAAGCTGTTATTATGGATTTGACAAATTGTTCTGGAAAAGTGTCACGTTTTGATCGAGGAACTCACTGAATATACATACAAGTAAGTGTAAAAAAATAATATATAAAAAGAATTTTAGATAAAATACCAACAAATTCAAAAAATTATTTGCTTATGGCAAAGTCTTTCACATCAAAGATCTATAAACAAATAAACAAATAAGTTGTAAAACATATGATAATTTGCAAATATACTTGTTTAATAAAATTAATCTGATTGGCAATTTATCAACAATAATTGTAAAAAAACAATGATTTTACTGGTGGCTAAATGGACATTTATGAAAATCACGTAACCACATAAAATTTTTTGAAAATAGTTAAAATTTTTGGATTTAATTTATTAGGTTTTTCACTATTTTATTTAAAATTTCTTTTATTCACATTTATTAAAATTGACATTCCAATAAAAGGAGCTTTATAAATCTACAAAATAAAAATTTTATAATTATATATTTACTTATTTATTTAAAATTACAATTTTGTGATGTACTGTGTAAGCTAATTTAACGGGAAGAAAACCAGGTGAGATTCACAAAGAATCATAAACACACAATCATTGTTAATCATTTATCTTTTTTATTTAAGCTAATAGATTAGACAAACATATATGACTTACTTATGAACATGATTAAAAAAATCACTTTAGCTCAATATCTCCTTAAAAAAGGCAATTAAGAAAATTAAGAGGATTTTCTTTCTGTCCTTTAGCAGTGTTCGCTAGAATCTTTTGTTCTTTAGCCAACATCATTGGAAGAAAATGAGTAAATTTAGACTCATACTGTGAAGAGTAGGATAAAAACACAGTGGATAACTGGTCCATAGTATTAGATGAAAGACGATTCGCCGGAGTAATTGATTCTGAGATATTGGTATTATATATGAGCTTGTATTGATCGGAATTGTCTTGGCTGGTGAAAATAATATCCCTAAAAATAGTCCTAATAAGGACGTGATGAGGCAGCGTTGCAGTGGTTGCTATAATAACCCTTGTCTGCGTCCACAAAAGTTTGTAAAATTGCATTCTGGATCAATGATGTAGTAGCAGGATCGTAACGTCTAAGCTTTATTGTTACGAGGTTCCCAAAAATTTGAGAGTCATCATCAGTGCTGGAAGCTGCAAAAGAATTCAAATGCCTGAAGGCATCAAAGTGCCTATTTTGTTTATTTATATTTTTCCTTCTTGCTCCTCTTTTCCATTTTTACAGCTGTTTTCCTTGTTGTCGATCCCTCTACTAACTTGATTTTCTTCCCTATCTTTTTCTTCTTCAGTTTCAATGCTGTCAAGTACTACTTTTGGCTCATTATTTTTTCTTATCTACATCATCTTAATTTATCATTTTTTATCATGTTTATTGCAGTATTAAATGTGTCTGACTGTGATTGAAAATTAGCTTCGGTGTCTGCATTATTCTCCGCTTGCATCTCAGCTTGCTATATTTAATAAAGAAAATTAATTAATAAAGAAAGTAAAAGTAAAGTAAGAGTAATATTTAATAAAGAAAAGTCTCTCTAATATTATTTCTATATTTAATAAAGAAAAACAAAAATGACATTAACAATATTATAACGGCTTTTTTTAGGGTTTCGTTGTTTAAAGATCGTTTCACGCACTCCTCGACGCTCCTATTAAATTCAATGGACAATGTGAACCACGCGTCGTAGCGCTTGTCCAGGTCAGGGAAAAATGGATGATCTAAATCCCAGAATATTGGTCTTTTCTTGTAGGCTTCAGTGAATTGTAATATTTCTTTTTCTGACCAGTCCATGATACTGTCTGTAGCAACAAACAGAAGGAAAGCAATAATTTACTTGATTATACATTGTTGAAAACAAATGCGAAAAAAAGAAAAAAGTTGCAAAAAGTAAGTTTGTTTTGAACATTGAACAGGAAACTCGAATATTCTAGCCATTTAGTAGAAGCGGGACAGAAATTAGTACATCTGCTCTCTTCTATTAGCCGAAACTAAACCGCGGAGCGCTTACGTTGCTTGCTGTTGCGTTTCAAATCTGGCATTAGCTGCGTTCAGCTGATTCTTTCACATGGTTGGTCAGCCTGCACGTCAGAGATGGCAGCACTCCAAGAAAAACAAATATCAAATGTGGTCGAAACGTGTTTCGTGCGAAAGATTTGTTAGAATTTGTAAATAAAGCTAATATAAAATTTTAAAAAGATTATCATATTATAGTAATCCATTACGATGGTGCGAAAGTTAAAATATCACGAACAAAAGCTACTGAAGAAGGTGGACTTTTTATCATGGCAGGCCGACAATAATCTCCACGAGGTTAAAGTTCTCAAGCGATATTGTATTCAGAGAAGATCAGACTACACAGTGTAAGTTGAATAATTATTGGATACAGCATTATATGCATAATAACAAATCTAATACTAACCGAAATTATTTCTAGGTACAACAAATTGTCACGTGAAATACGAGAATTGGGTAAGAAGATCAAGGAAGTTGAACCTGACCATCCTTTTCGCATAGAACAGAGTGCTTTGTTGCTGGAGAAGCTGTACATGCTGGGCTTGATTTCCACGAAGTGGGATTTGTCCCAAACTCAAAAGGTAACTGCCAGCTGCTTCTGCAGACGGAGACTTCCAGTTGTTATGGTGCGCAACAAGATGAGTCAAACAATACCAATGGCAACAAAATTGATAGAACAAGGCCATGTTAGAGTCGGAGTGGAAGTTGTGAAAGATCCTGCATTTCTAGTAACGAGGTAACGCACTTTATATACCTGCTAATATATTGTAAATGCTAAAAGATAAATAAAACTAGAAATGCAAATGTTGAACAAAACTGTATTGATTATATATGTTTTACAGAAACTTAGAAGACTTTGTAACATGGGTGGATACCTCTGCTATTAGGAAACATGTGTTGCAGTACAAGAATGAGGTGAGAACTTCTTTTATATTCTCTTATATGTTACTTCAACTAAATTATAATAATTTATATGTATTTTGTGTATTGCAGAAGGATGATTTTGATTTGGTATAAATCTACATATTAGGTAAATATTGTTTTTTTTTAGAAACTACATTTTATAGAAAAGAAAAAATTGTTGGGATTAAACATATTTATAATCAGAATCTTGAAAATGAGGTTATTATTTTTCAAGTCTCACTCGTTTTGCCCGTAATGGATTATAAGTATACATAGGCAAATCTTGTAGATTATTGCTTCTATTATTAAATTTAATAGCATTGATTTTATTTCTAGAAGCTTCTTTTATAATATCTTCATTCATTTTCTTTCTATCTTTCAGATTTTTTTTTAACAAAATTTTATGTACGTTCCGAATGTATGCACTGAAAAGTAATCATATCGACGTTTAAGATTTTATCAGATTAATTATAATTAATTATATTAATGATTTATAAGTGATATACACGCATAAAGTGATTAGCAATTTGCGAATGATTTAATTAATGATTTTATTTACTAACCTGAGGTTTGACACTCGATCGGCTAACTTATATACGTTTCTTCGACGAGTTTTAAGATCAGTTTCTGTTGTTTTATGATTAATAGAATTTCGCGAGTCAAGTGCATTTGAAGCAGTCATTGCTTGAACTTTTGCATTAGTTTTAGAAAGTGTATTACAAGTTTCCTTTGATCCTTTCAAACTGTGTGTATTAAATGCAGGTTGTTTTAATTCTAAGGGTGATTTTGTTTCCTGCATGTTATTAAGACGGCAAGATTTGAATGGATTCGTTAATATCGGCTTTTCGCGCACATTTCGAGAATCGTCAATAATCGTTGTGCGATCTTTCAAGTTTATGCAACCGTATACTCGCTTGTACGTGACATTGTCCACTTTTTGCGCCTCGTATGACAGTGTCACATTTATCGATGTATTTCTTTCTTCAATTTTCGCCTGATTTTCTATTACACAGTTAGAATCATCAACGTGTAACGGAGATTGAAGCAATGAATTGTTTGCATTTTTAGCCAAGTTTTTCATCAGTTCTTTCGAAGAAAGATAAACTAACGATTTATTCGAACTGTGCGTCTTCAACACAGAATCTAATTGCATAGTTTCATCGTTTGCAATTTCCTGCGAATGATTTTGCGAAGTGCTTGTACCGCAAGTGGATATAATGAAGGACGGCACCCCGATGCTGAAAATGGATCGCAATTCAGATTTGCAGGACGAACACAAGCTCAAACAGTCTTCTTCTTGCGAGCAGTTTTCACTTTCTAACATCGTGACTTTTACAAACGCGATGAATATATATATATATATACGTTTTATAACTCTAATGAGATTTTTGCAGGTAGTCAACTGTACAGATTCGTTGTATTGAAGTTTATTAAAAGTTGGATTACATAGTTGTTGCCACTTTCAGATTGCACGAATCACTTGAACAAAGCTACGAAGAATAGTTCACATAAAAGTGTAATCGCATGATAGGACAGTCACTGAATAGAACAAATTTCGTTCAGTTTAGCGCACACATTTGGTTCTTATAATTGGCGATAACACAAACATCGCAAGAGAAATACGGTAAGACTTAAAAAATAGCCATTTAGTGTTCGAAATGTGCGGCGAGGAGATATAATAATGAAGTTTTACACAACTTGCTGACACCAAAGGTTCGACGAATCGATAAACGATTTGGAGTTTACATTACATTAGAAATAATAATATTACCAGATTTCAAGAAACGCAACATTAGAAAAATGAAAAAAAAAAAATTGATATAGCAGCGGAGATAAATCTCGCACCACGTGCGCATTCCGAGCAGCCACTCATTCATATACTTATAATGATAATTAGTATTTATTATGATTATGATACAAATGTTACATGTTAATATCTTTATAATAATCGGCAGTCTCTGTGCTGGTCTCTGTGACACCGCCACCGCGTTAAAGAATCTTTATTACGTTCTAGAGACGGCACTTCTCTAAAACATAACTAGTAGATCAAAACGGGAGCGTTGTGTCGGCTCAGGTCCCTAAGTATCTCCTCTCCCTTCTTCTCCTCCTCCACCATCAACTATTTACATAATTGCCTTGCGGAATCTCTCCATAATACGCTGCATTTTTAATTTATTCAAGGAAGAGAGAAAAAAAAAGACATTTACATCGTTTTATCCCGATTAATATCTATTTGTCGCAGCGTATCGCCACATCTCGTGAAAGTTTTACCAATTTGTTCAAAAATGAAATGAGAATCGTGAATCATGAATCACGCGTTTCATCTGCAGAGGGTAATAAATATGCGTTTTCAATGTGATAATTGCAGGTATAAAAGGCTCGTAGTGAAATATCGTACAAAAGAAAGAAGCAAAGACGACGTGAAGAGAAACGAAAGAAACGAGTAACACAATATAGATAGGCAAGACATCCACACTAACCCGCGAAATACAATAACGGTGCCTCTTGTACTTATCAAACGTGTTTCGTATTACTATCTATTGTTCATTTCCTCTTATGTGGATATATTGTTATATATAGAATTTCGCGTCGACTAGCTATTTGCAATTTCGTGCCATTCCCGAAAAAAATTTATACTCTTTCTGATCCTACTGTTCTTTGTACAAGTTCGTTAACGTATTTTATTCTATCAATTAATCTTAGCGAGATACTCAGTGAATTAAGTTGTCTGTATATCTTATTTTTGGAACAAACATACTGTTGCAATATAAAATGTGGATTTTTTTTCCCATAATAATTGTATCACATTCCATAAAAATATTACTGAAAGACTATATAAGACGCAGAGTATCACGCTAAATACGAATTTGCGACCTACATCGCTATATTTAGAGTCGCTCAAATTCTGAGAAATCGATAAGATTCTTTCGGTTATTTCTCAGGTTTTGGAGAATTCATCCATTTAAGTATCCATGCTTCTTTCGATATTTCGAATATCGGAAATAAGTTGTGTGATTTTAGATGCCAAAATAAATGTTTCGGTAGAAATATTGCATGAATTATTATTATGACAAGGAATGATGATTTATGGTGTAATAAGAATAAATCAAACAGAATTTGAAAAAGCTAGATGCATTTCGATGTAGCAGCCCACAGTGGTGAAAGAAATTAAAAATTGTTATGAAATGGCCGACTTTCGTATCAATAAATACAACAGTTTCAGAAATGGATGACTGCTTTGATGGAAAAAGAAAGATTCTTACAGTTGTACATTACTATCTATAAAAATTTCAACGTTTTAAATTTTAATATGCTCTTCGCGTCACGCTCGTGTTGCAATAAATAGTCGCACAATTTCTACATAGGCAATCTCATATATGCTACTGTACAACATGAAGTGTAAAAAGGTTCTTCCACCTTTCTCACTTCAATTTAAGTGTAAAAATTTATCGACATGAACGAAAGGATGTTCAATTATAACTCTCGTATATCTGACACTGAAAGATTCTATACCGTAGAATTTCAAAGTATCATCCGTTTTATGGATTGCAATAATATTCTGTTTAAGACGACTCAATTTCACGAAATAATTATCTCATAAAGCATAATAAATTAAAACCGCTTATTTTATTATCTATTACACTATATTTCACTCACAGGGCCAATCATTCCACCTTCCGAGAAAATATCCGATAGTTTCTTCGACAAAAATAAATCTCTTCTCCCTGCCGTAGCATGGGCTTGTGATGCAGAGTGATAAGTTGGAATGAGTGTTGGAAAGACCGGCCCTTAAAGACAATATTGAATTTATGCTTTTGTTAATCCTCCAATATTATGCTATCTCATGTCTTCTTTTACACGTTTACCACAATTAATAAATTAGTAACAGAATTCCGCGCGAAAACTTAATGGCATCACACGTTAAATCAACAATCCTCTCCTAGAGCGTCAAATCAAGCGTTAGATAGTATTTTCCCTGTAAAATCCTGGATGAAAATGAAATGGAAATTATAGAACGGACATCAAGATATGAATCGCCGATAGACATAAGCTTTGGAAGATTGACAATGTACTCATTTTGTCCATTCAATCGTGATTTTTACAAATTATATTTTTACATATCGGAATGCACGTGGTACTATTTCATTACGTATCATTATAACATTATGGCTGCGAAATATGCGGTGGAAAATCGAGAAAATCGATCTTTATCACCTTTGGTGTCAACTGTTGTCGGTGAAAAGTAAAATGCACATTACTATGCCGGAATATTGTACAATCAATACGATTGCAATCAATAATACAATAATAACGAATAAGTACAGAATGTGTTATGTGCGCTCAATTTCGTTTGGAGAATATTCATGCATCTTTTACTATATCGAACTCGATAAATTGTTTTTTTTTTTTTTTTTTTTTTTTTACTATACGTTGTGACAACAAACAGATAGGTTATTGCATACTAACAATATCATTTTTTTTATTAACATAATATTACGTCACAAAAACATTGCCAAAGAAGCTTTCTAGCACATGTAAAATATCTATATATACGAGACATATCCATATTATAATATACAATAAGGACAATTAATGATTATTAAATTATTAAGTATATGAGCAATATATAATATATATATATATATATGTGTATATAATTTATCAATATAAATTTCTATTGAACCCGAGATTATTAGAAAGTCATCTCTCATTGCTCAGTGGATAATGATCTTTCCTTTTCAAGTTTAAAATCAAGATAAATTTTAAGTTAAAAACATCCAAGCAATAACGTTTATAGTAAACATCTAATGATACAGATTTTAAAACTTTTTTTTTTTTCAATTTCTACTCAGATATGCATATTAAATAATTTTCATTCAACACACACAGTATGTATATTGTACGGATGGATTATTGTAAAACTGGAACACTTTATAAAAATGGAAAACTTGTTCATTGGCGTCAGTAACGATTTTACTATGCTATTGCTTCACGATTTTGACGGTAATGAAGTCGGATCAAGTCTTTACAATCCAATTAAATGTATATCACGAAATTTACTTTTTTTTTCTTTTTTCTTTTTTTTTTTTTTTTGAGACATGACTTTTTCTAAAATGAGAGATAAGATAGCTCCATGATGGAAGAACGAACGTAACACACATTTTACGTAATCACAGTCGGTGCGTCACGTCCAATGTGCTGATGAAGTTCACTTATTTCTAATGCGATATTAATTAAAGGTTTCAAGACCAGTTGTGCGTCTTTCACGAAAGTAGCTGGATCATTCTCGTAACTATCGATATACATACGGATAGTAGCACCAGAACTTCCCGTTCCGGACAAGCGGAATATTATGCGGGAACCATCCTCAAACAATATCCGTAAACCCTACCGCACAGAATAATGTAACTAGTTGGAAGATATTAGATTATCAAGGCGAAAACAATTGTAAAACATACCTGTTTTGCAGTTTTGCTACCGTCAACAGGATCCGTGTAGGAATAATTATCTGCTCGCTTAACAACGTACTCTTTACCTTCGTACTGCAACTTTTTCCCGATAAATGCTGGCTTCTGAATCGAAATCTCGATATACTGTATCATTTTGTCAGCGCTCACAGCGTTACAATTTTCATAATCATACCTATCATTGATAATAATTAAGAATAATTGAGAATTTTAGAAATATTAAATTAAGGTATATATAAACTTGTTTAAAAATAGATTATTAATACACATACCTAGTAAAGAAATTTCTACCATAAATTTTCCAGTGATCTAATAAGATATCTTCTACAGATTTTCCAAGTCCCGCAATCACATTGAGCCATGCTAGGCATGCCCATATTCCATCTTTCTCACGGATATGATCAGAACCGGTACCAAAACTTTCCTCTCCACATAACGACAGATCTTTAGCATCCATTAAATTTCCTGAAGTTTGCACATCAGTTAAGTATTGTGAAATAGATTACAAGTTCTTTTTTTGTACAAATGTAAAAATTTTTTTATACCGAAGTATTTCCATCCAGTAGGAACTTCGAAGAATTGCACTCCATATTTAGCGGCGACTCTATCGATAGCCGCGGCCGTCGGCATAGATCTGGCGAATCCTTTAATACCAGTCTTTTGGAAATATGGGATTAATTTCAAATTAGCAGCTAACACCGCTAAGGAATCGGAGGGAGTGACAAAAAAGGCTTTCTTGCCCAAGATCTGTAAGTACAAGCGCGTTATTATCAAATTTTTGTTAAAACTAATTTGATTACATTTATCGATTGCCTACCATATTTCTGTCTCCGTCTCCATCGAAAGCGGCACCAAAATCGTACGGTCCTTGTTTTATAGCATTCACTAAATCTTTGGCATATGTTAAATTTGGATCAGGATGTAAACCACCAAAATCTTCTAACGGCGTTATATTTACTAAACTTGTGTCGTCCACGCCTAATTCAGTGCTAAATATACGTTTCACATACGGTCCCGTAACTAAAAATCAATGAAAGTTTACATCATTTTTCTATTAATAACATCTTTATAAAAACATTAGTTAGATATGAATCATGAAATATATGATAAATGAAATGAATAAATTATGAAAGATATGATAAATATGAATTATGTAATATCTAACCTCCATTCATCGAATCGATGAGGACTTTAAACGCCGGTTTATCCGCACTTCCGTGCAACAACTTTTTAATACTTGCAAAATCAAAAATTTCCTTCATAAGCTCTAGATAATCTTTCACAGAATCAATGATATCGATGGTAAACGGTTTACCATCAACTTTGATAGAGATATTCTGTATCTTATCAATATCTACGCTAATATCAGGAATAATTTTATAAGATTCTAGTGTCTTGGTGATCTCGTAGATTTTATTCGTAATGTTATCCGGAGCGGGGCCACCGTTGTCACAATTGAACTTAATGCCAAAGTCGGCATCAGGTCCACCAGGATTGTGCGATGCGGTTAAGACAATTCCGCCTTGCGTTTTATACTTCCGAATTATAGTTGATACCGCTGGCGTCGAGAGGATGCCATTCTGACCAATTATCAATTTTCTCACCTAAAATCATTACAGTTTTATAGCATCAATTACATCTTCGTATAATTTTTTTATATATAACCTCTCTATATAATTATTTTCAGTTATCTCACAAGGGAATTGTCCTTACTCTATTTTTTACATTACATTATATTATTTTTCTGAATAAAATTGTTAGTGTCAAGTCATGAAATGAATAATGTATTGTGTATTGTAAAAGTTATACATAATACATAACACTGACAGAATTTAGATACACTAAATGCTATATATATAACTATATATAGAACCTGAAAGCTTGTTGATATCAAATTTCAAGTTTTCTAAACTATTCAGTATATCAATAGTGCTTCAAATTCCTTTATTAGCACTGATATAATATTGCCAAAATCTGTGACATATTTCGGTTTATGTCAATCAATCTATGTGTATTGCATGGAACTATATGTTTCCAGAAATAGCTCGATGCTTGAACTGGTCAATCGATCTTACCCCGTTTGCTGCGGCGATCCGGATGATCTTATTCACCGCTTCCTTCCCGTAAAATCGTCCATCACCGCCGACGACAAGAGTGCAGCCTGACAGCTGATCACCCAGAGCTTGCAGTATCGCCTGGACAAAGTTCTCTGTATAGTGTTCCTGCTGGAAGATCTTCACAGCTTTTCGCAGGCCCGAAGTGCCCGGCTTTTGACCCTCGTATATCCCGGTGTCCACCGTAAAACTCGTCACCGACGTCGTGGACATGTTTATTGGAGAAGTGTGCTGCAATCGAAGAAAGAAAAAACGGTGCAACAAACAGTTACGAGATGCTAATCCGTGTATCGCGGTTCAAAAGGAGATCGCGCTCTCGCAACAGTCGTTCGATAACTGTCGCCGGTATGAACTTTGCCTGTCAATGACACGCAAGGGCATAGGCAACGCCGGGCTGTCGCCATCTTGGAATATTGCGCGCGCCAGCTGTCGCGCCAGCTCGCGCGCACGTGCACGTCTAGCCGAAATCACATAGGTCAGGAAGCTTGTCATGAAATACTCCGAATACTATTGTAGGACGAAATGAAAAACAGAATCATTTGGTTTTTCCTAAATGTTTTTGTGACAGAAAAAAAGAAAGCTTCTTGTGTTATTTATTTATTGGAATTTTGTCCTTTAATAACAAAAAATTTTTAACTTATACTCAGACATTCAGAAAAAGTAGAAAAATTTGAAAAATGTACAAAAAGTGTAGTTAAAACAACAAATCCATCACCTCATTATGCTGCTAAAAATGCAAAATTTTTTTGCAGAAAGAGCTTATTAAGTACAAAATTAAAGATTGTCTTATTTCTTTATGAATATAGATTTATAGCAATATAATGCATTTTTTCGTATTTAATTTAAAACGTTGAAGAAATAATATACTTTTTTAATGAGTAATATCATTTTTATATTAATAAATAATAACTATATAGATATTACTGATATCAAGAACTGTTGTTAGAAGGATTAAGAGAAGATATCTTTATTAAGAGAGGTAAATACGCATAAGCCTGTTATCAATTCAGCTTTCGACAAGCCGCGCTCCAATTCGATAATTTTTGGTTCTAGTAACAACTTCCACAGAATAACGATCACTTTCCAACTTTCAGATAGATAAGTAGAGGAAATGATTATGAAAAATAGTGACGTTTATAATTGCGAATGCGTGCGCAAGATAACAATTCTGTAAATAGATGATGCGTAGATTAATAACGCGGAAGTTGAACAAAATAGACGCACCACGGTTTTCGATCTGTAAACGTGAATCCTGTGAATTTCGAGACTCTCTTTCGTCATTTTTTTCGATAATGACGCGGAATAAGCAATTTAATATGACAATTGATAGTGATATTTTAAAACAAAGCAAGCTACATAATATGCAGTGTGGAAATCGTTTGACGTCATGGAACATACGTTGTTTTAAATTAAGATAGCGAATATACAGAGTGTCTCAGATATCGTATGCACACGTCTCTGAGATAAATCGATGGAATCGACAGTGACAGGAATGGAAGCGACAGCTCAAGTTATTCTGTGAGTATAAATAATAAAAGAATTGCAGTTAATTGTGGCGAGGAATAATTTCAATATTCAAGAAAACTTGTGAACACTTACGTAAACGTGTGTTTGTTTGTAATAAAAATTTCTTTTAGCCACTTTCGGGAAATGTCGGAATACTAGGAACTTGCATAGAAAAAAAAAAAGAGATATGATTGAGGATGATGAAAATTCAAGACCAATTGAATCATTCATGTCGCGTAAGCGTAAGAAAGGAACGATCTTCAAAACAAGCGCGACATTCGCAGCATAAACGACTTGCGTCAGTAATCCGGATTAACAACAAGATTAACTAGCTTTTTTGGCCTGGAGATTACAGTCCCACCTATAAAATAGAGCAGAGCAATTAACGAACCTCAGAATAACAGATGTGTGTCACTGCAACTTTTGTCTCAAGGAGTTAAAGCTACGATTAGACGGACACGTCCGACTTGTCGCGCCGACGAGCGATAAGACGAGAAACGGAGACTCGAGGTAACTGAGCCGCGCTCACAGCGATCCTTTCATCTCGCTGCGAGTCTTTATAGTCCTGTAATCGTGGAGCATCTCGGCGTCGAAGAGGGAAGGAATAACAAAAGCGGAAAAAAATTTTGTACATACAATTGTTATGACTGACAGTAATTGGCCGGCGTTTAAGCGGCGCTCGCTCGCTCGCAGCGCACGCGCTAGCATAACCGAAAAATGCGAGCAGAGGAAGGGATGCGTTAAGTCAAGGATGACTGATATAAAGTTCGTGGATTTATAAAATAGAGACAGACTTCAAATCTCAGTTTTCCAGTGAAAACACGTGTTACACAAAAATAAGGTGTTTGTTCACATCCACTCCGGACAGATCGTTTCTCTCGCACCGACCAGGGATCAAGCTCTGGATTGTGCCATCTGGAGAGAAAAAGTGAGTCAGAGATTTTTTTAATTTACGCACAATTCAGTCGCCGGGAGACGACTCACTGATATCGGATATCGGATTCCGCTAAACTCGCGATAACTTTTCACGCGTTACTTGATCCTCTGTAATCGGTTAATTTGGAGTAAAAGGAGATACATTTATCGTCACGATAAGACTCGTAATACTCCAAAAGCGAAGCGGTTATTGAATTCGCTATCTGCTCTCGCACTTTATAGACGATACATCCACATAATAGGTGATATATCCGAGACATTTTTACATAAAGATGATACGTAACACGAAAGAAAGTCACACCGCGCGTAACAATACATTGAAACGCAGAACGGTCGTCGTTTAGCTGCGTATCGAGTAAGTGAACACTTGCGTTTGATCTGCCACTCCGAAAACTTCGCGTTCGCGCAAGGAGCTCACGGAACTTTTCTTTATTGCAGATACTTTCTGTCAGCGTCAGAAATTATGTATATTTACCGGGACAACGATACTCCACGAGACAGCGGATCTGAAAGCACGCCGCTGCTCTCTTCGGATTCTCGCACCAGCCTGGAACCAGCGATATTCGATGTCTCGGAAACGAGCGATTTGGATCTCAGTCCAACTGCTTATTCCTTCAAGTACGATATCTTCAAAATTAGATTCATTAATTCATATTGTAATCGGACTTTTTTATAATTTGTTGAAACTGTCAGAGCCTCGTTTAATCTTCATTTATACATATATATTTTTTATAAAAAATTAATTGCTGATCGCTGATGCATCTTTATTACCTTGTTTAGATATGGGAGCCTGGATGCCGGCAGTTATGGCACAACCATAACAACTATACCGAAGAGACCGCCTCCTTTAATGCAAGACAACGAATTGCTCATTTCACCAACGGCACGTTCACCTTGCATCGTAAATCATCATGAGAACAATTACGAGGTAATATCGAGATCTGGGAAAAATAACATAATTAAATGTAAAAAGCAAAATAATATACATATTTGTCTCAATTTTGACAAGCGTACTAATATAAATGTAAAAATAAGCGCATCTTTTCTGCATACGCACAATTTTTGTAATCTTATGCATTACATTGCACAATTTTTAGATATTATGCGAGAATCCCGACGCGATGAATTACGCGCCCGTGAAGAAAACGAACGAGATCGACTATAAAGCTGGTTCATTACGATTTCAACGTGATACGCAGACTTCCCACAAGGACCTCAAGTCGAAGCAAAGTTCCTTGGTCACTGTGTGAGTATTTCACAATACAAGTTCTTCAGTTACCGCGAGCGAGTATTTCACGATACAAAAAAAATCGACGCAAAGTATCGGAGCGAGTGTTAAAATAGCAAATTTATTCAATGATTCCTGATAATGCAGTGATATAATTAACCGTTTCTTCATATCAATTGACTCGCCGATCGATATACTTTCCTACACAACCAAGAGCGCGAAGATATTTAATACAGATTACAAGAGATTATATAATTTACATATTTACCGTTCTCATGTTTATATAGTATTTCAAAAGGTTGACTAAACCTTGAACTACTGCTGTACTTTCGTAATATTGATGCCGACATAAATATATTATTTGGCATATTAATAATTCCGATTAGCTACCAATAGCTACACATCCTACGTAATAGAAAAACATTTCAATATTTTTATATTGATATGAAATTACTTCTCTCATCATATATATCTCTTTTAGATAAGAATTTCTAAATTTCGAAATCTAGAAATTTTTATATAAAAAGTGTTTTCAACCCCAAAGGCTGACAGTTTAGAGGCCTCATAAGCAACTACGGTTGATTTTGCAATTTTGCATTTTATTAACGTTGCATTTTATTAACGGCATATTCAGATTTGTCTGTAAAATTCAAGTATATTTTTTTTGTCAATAATTGATTATACGATTTTATGTTTCGCAAGGAATAATGATTGTTAAGTGTCATAAAGTATCCTTGCGAATATGGACGTGCAAACGCCAATCAATGCACCCAACTACATACGTAAGAGAGACAAATAGAAATAGTGATCGATGTGAGACGTTATCAATGGTAAGCTATAAATGTTTATCTCGCGTTGTTTATCATATTCGTGCTCGTGTCCTGTGATACAGTGTGATTATATTTTTTTGTACGTTGTATTTGCAGTCATTTTATCACCCATAGATGGCTGATGGCAATAAGCCCCAAACTTGCATCAGCGCATCTTGAATTGATTCTTTTTTCATCGCCGCCGATACATAATTGTACAAAGGGGTGAAATTGATGGCGACGCTATATTTCAAACGTTATCACGTTTTAAGTATTCCTGCCATTCCAAAAAGAAAGCGCCGTTACGATAAACGTATACGAATAGTTTTATAAAACGACAATTCGCGCACAATTGACGCAGCTCATTTTATCACTGAAAAATAATGTAGGACTTGAAAAGGAAAGAAATCGACCGACAAACGAAAAGCGTAAATATTTTTTATGAATAGAAATGTAGAAACGCACAGATAAAAATAGAAATTACAAAAAAACGCGCACTCGTCGATTTTATATCCGACGATAAGAAACGCTAATCAATGTCGTAATTCTTTTTTCACACGAAAGCCGATATCGGTTAATAAGGACAAAATTTATGACTCGTAAGTTGTAAAATCGTGTTTCTCAGTTCTAATCAATTTGAGCGCAATCGACACGTCAATTGACGCACACGATCGTATGATATCGGCATATACTAAGTATAGCTACTCGCATCTCTACATGTGACTGATATAACCTAAATACGCAACCGTATTTAGGCACTTATCAATATCACATTTGACAGTTACATATTCCACGAATTCAGGAAATCCGTTCAGAACTCACCATTCGCGGCTTTAACGTCGTTGCCGGTGCGACTTCGCTGTCGAGCATCGCGAGCATCCCGGGCGAAATCGTTACTTGTCCGCCCTTATCGAACCTTCCGCGCGACTAACACCTCGCGAGGGACTGAAGTTCACCAAGCGGTCGCTCGTTTTTTCGTCCCCGCGTCTGGAAAACGAGCGCCGAAATGATCGTGGCACTCCGTCGTCTGACACTCCTGCCCTCGCGTGTCGCCGTTGCACAATGCGAAGTCGAATCCGCGTCTTATCTTCTCGATCGAGGGTTAGAAACGCTGTCGCTCGTTTTCGAGACGCGGGAACGAAGGTGCTCAGCGTGCACGCCTCGCGCCAACGCACCGCGCCAACGTCCGGAGCGTCTAGAGCGCGGCGCGACGGGACGCCCGAAGGGGTTACCGCTCTGTCTGTTGCCTGGGCAACAGACGACCGCCCCGAAGGTGAATGCCCTTAGCCGCTAACCTGCCGTTTCGCCGGGCGCACGTATACAGGCTCGTTCAAGTATCGAGAGCTGCATTTCAAAGAGCTTATGATAGATTTGGACACGACGTGCACGAGAGTAATCTTTATCACATTCATTGGCGATAAAATTGCAATCAATGGCGAACTTGTCCAAATTTTAGACTGCACTTTTCCCTCAATTTTGATAAATCTGATTTCCCAAGGAAAAAAATATGAAGTACAAGACTTGCATTCTTGGCTGGCGATAAACGAGTTGATTAAAACAAATTGGGGCAAAATTAACAATATAAATATATTGTGCAACCGCGAGTATGAATTGCTACTTGCAATACATTTGATTTTTCAGTTAATATCTTATAGGTGTCTATTTTTCCAAGCGACAAAAATAGCTGGGTCTGCTCAATGCGACGAATAAATAAATAAATAATGAACCTAGAACGGAGAGATATATGACGAAATCGGACGCTGTGTTCCGAAAAGTTGAGAGAAATACGTGCAAAAATACTCAATAATTTCGATTAAAAAAAAAAAAAACGCGTGATCACGTAAGAATCCACGAAAACGTCTTTGCAATGACTAATCAAGTTCAACAACAGAATATGTATAAAGATACGCATTGTCCTTGGTCCATATATTCGCAACTGTCTATGATTCAAACTATGAGATTCCTTTAGATAACTAAGACAGAATTGTAATCATAATGCTGCACGTTGATTATAAACGGACCGTGTTAAGAAATAGATAGAGGTATCTTTATGAGCTCCGAACGTCTCCGAGTGCAAAGTATCAATTATCGGAGAAATGCGTACACAAAAATAACGTAACACGCTCATTATTCAAGAGGAAATAACTGATAAGCGATATATAGCGTATCTCAATAACTTACGTCTTTATATTGAGCATTCTGATAAATTTAGTTGTTCCGAATTTCCAAATCGTCTCAGATATTTGATATCATTTTTTGCAAACCAATTCACAGAATTAAAATTGCGCTAAAATAAATCTATTCAAAAGAATAAATGGACACTCGTAAAAAAAACACTTTGTAGAAACATACCTGTGTAATATGTTACAAATTTTATATATGTATTGTATTAATATTGATCTGTATCCCCCTTAGATTTTCAGTATGGAATACGATATTGGGATCATCGCTGCTGACTATGCCATGGGGAATTGGGATGGCCGGATTCTTTCCTGGGATAATCCTCAACTTGACAATGAGTGGATTGTGCCTGTACACCGCTTATCGCCTCATAACTGCACACGCGTATCACGGTAAGAGTATGTTTCTCCATGAAGTGAGTTAAAACTTGCTTCGTACCAATCTTACTCATCGATTGCATTCCCGCAGGTGGGGGAGAAAGTATAGAAGTCCTAGATTTGAGTCGAATTTACATTGGCAAATGGGCGGAACATATCGCCAGGATCTTCAGTATTGCCGTACTACTGGGCGCGACTATAGCTTACTGGGTATTAATGGCCAATTTCCTGTACAATAGCGTCAATTTTATTTACGGTAAAGATTTCGCACACATGCGCGAGAATCCAAGTCCCGATGAATCATTTTGAAGCAACGAAATCTTTTTGCAGATAACGTAGCTGGCCGCTCGGCGAATTCTGTGCTTGAGAACGTCTCATATACAGAAGGTGCACATCACTTTTGATTCATCGCTCAAGAATAATATGTTTTCGATGTGTCACTCACTTTCTGCTCTAATTCACAGTTGTATGCCCGAAGAGAGAAATCCATGACGAAAACGATACTATTTTAATTTACGAGAAGACATTTGATGCACTGGGACCAGCATGGGACTTACGCAACACAGTGCCAATGTTTTTGGCTTTATTGATATTTCCCTTGCTGAATTTCAACAGTACGACGTTTTTCACCAAGTTTAATTCTCTCGGTAAGTAAATCACTTCTATATTCCGCATTATCTAAATATCTCCTCATTTACTGCACCTTTCTATGTGCAATACAAGGCAATATCTGAAATAATATGTGTATATATAAGCCGTGCGATTGTACATACAACTCTGATCTGCCGAATTAAAATTTGCAATTATGCCAAATTACAAATTTTCTTATAGGAACCGTGTCAATCGTATACATAATTATCTTTGTTCTGATAAAATCTACATCGTGGGGTATTAATATGGACCAAACCGATTGGGCAGTGAGTAGGATAATAAAACCCACATTTCCAGCCCTCTCCGGATTGCTGGCAATGTCATTCTTCATTCACAATATTATAATCAGTATAATGCAGAATAATCGTTATCAAGAAAATAATGTAAGTTACTTGAAATTCCGTTTATACACATGTGTGTGTGTATGTATATTCTATTTACAAACATCAAATAAACACACGATCTTATTTTTAGGGCAGGGATTTAACTCTGGCATATATTCTCGTCACGATAACTTACATCATCGTTGGAGTAGCGTTTTACATATGTTTTCCTCTGTCTAAATTGTGCATTGAAGATGTAAGTAACAATAATGTTTAATATTTATTATAAAAGTTATGCTTCCTAAACAGGAGTTTGCTTTATTGCAGAACTTATTGAATAATTTTCAAAAATGGGACGGCCTCACCATAGGCGCTCGTATATTACTACTGTTCCAATTAACGACCGTCTATCCTTTGCTCGCATATATGTTACGTATCCAGTTGTTGTCATCGATATGCAAAGGAGTATCTAATAGGAGCTTAGTACTGCTCATTAATCTCATATTGGTTTCCATATGCATTTTATTTGCAACATTTATGCCACACGTTGGAACTATCGTCAGGTACACAGGCGCTATAAGTGGACTGATTTACGTCTTCACTTTACCAAATTTACTGCATTTATCGATTTTGAGAAAAGAGGAAAAGTTAACGATATGCTCTCTGTTAATTCACTTAGGTATACCCGTTATCGGATTTTTAAATCTCATTGCTCAATTTTTCATCACAGATAATTAATTATATAATAAAAGTTAAAGACTGTGTGATTGCATTTACATGATATCCTCGATTGCATTTAACTAATTATGTACATCACTATGTACTTTATATAAGATGAGAAGTGATATATTAAACTTAGATTAAAAATAATTTTAAATACATTAGGTAAACATTAAGTATAAGATACTTGATTTAAAATGCCAAGCTTACGTATTAAATAGTTTACTACTTATAAGAGAATTTTGTGAATTAAGAAATGTACTCAATTTAAGATCTGCCTGTGAGATTATGTGCATACATGTATGACATAATATTATGTTTATCACTTTTTAAAAAGAAATAACAGTTAATATAACTTATTTAAGACAAAACATTAATTTAATAAAAATATATATTTATTTTCTCACCATTAACACAAAAGTTGTTACATATTTTATACTTGAGACATGCTATGTATTAAATATGCAACAATTACTTTTACATTCCCTGTCATGATTTATTTAAAAATTTTGTTACCTCTGATTCAGCTCTGAGATATTTTATAAACCCAAACAGTGTCAACTCCGTGTCCAATTGTCATAATAGGATGCTTATTAGGAAGAGGAAATCTACATGCAATTACAAGAGTGTCCTGGCACAATTCGCTATTAAATTTCTTTTCAATATCTTCCATCTGTGCAAAAGATGTCACAACTATATACTAATGCATATTACAATATTCTCAGAGCTATAATGGATATTAAAGAATGTACCATTTGATCTACACCAAATACAACAATGTTGTCATATTTCCCTAAATTATATTTCCATAAATCTTGTTTGAAGAAGGCAGTATTGTTTGATAAACCATTAGTCAAGGCTTTCAATCTTGAGTACCATACTAGCCAAGTATTTAATTCAATACCATGGGCTTTGAAACCATGCTTTGCAGCTGCAAGAACCTATTTATAAATTATCTTTTTTATCGTATCAACAGCGAGATATTTAGTCTACACGCTCTTTTTTAACATTTGTAATGTCACATTTTATTTATTTCAAAATTTATGATGCATTTTAATATTATCATACTCACAATACGTCCATCTCCACTACCAAGATCAATTAAAGAACCAGAGCGACCATTTAATGCTTGGATAACATTTTTTATTTGTTGATGTGTAGCTGGTACATATGGCAAACATATCCTACGAAATGCAGGACTTACAAATGGAAAGCAAACAACACTAATTGCTGTTGCAATGCCACCTAATAATGTAAAGTCATAAATAAAACTATCGCTGAAATCATGTGGGGAGCGTTTATGTAAAATAACAAACCTGTAGCCGCAATTAAAGCTAAACCAATTTTTGATGATTTCTGTGATGCGCCAATATCTTTTTTAGCAGAAAAGTACTCCATTCTAATCTCGGTATTTAACTTTTAAATTGTAAAACAAAACAACTCAGCTTTCAGATTATAAAACAAAATTTTTTATATAAATTTTTCTAAATGACAAATATGTGTACACTCAAAACTGTAGTTCTACGATGACTGTGTGACATTCTGATTGCCTGATAATGTAATTTCATTCCTACAAACTCCACTTTGCTTCACGTGCCAAACAGTGCAAAACAGTGTGAACAAATATGAAATAATGGTTCAATAGGGATCACTGTTTACTTGTGATAATTATCGTGTGAGTGTTTTGCACTTTTTTTTTTAATTAAACAAGATGGAGATGGCTATTGCAGCGCCATACAGCCCGCGTTTTACAAATTCTTATAAGATTTTATTTCATAGATTAAGGCAGAAGTTAACGTTAAAATAAACAATTATGGTACAAATTAAGCGAATAGTTTAGTTTGATTTATCGTTGTCTTGTATCACTTATTCGTTTTGTCAAAATTATTTTGTTAAAATCAAGTATAGGCAAGTAATCAGGAAATCGTAAGTTTTTTGAAATACATTTTATTTATATTAATACTACAGTTTATATTTTATATTATTTATAATGTCATTTTTATAAATACAGTAAAAATAATTCTTTGACTATAAACATATTACATAGAAGAGTTTTTCTTTTTTTACAAGTGATAATTTACAATGATGAGATGATCTTAAAAAATAATACCTAATGTACAATATGTAGTTAATTAACTCCCTTGAGTACTAATTAAGTTATATTTCTAAATAAACTCACTGATCTGAATTTTAATATTACAAATTTCGTTTTCTTATAAATAATTTTAATAATTTTCTTGTGAACTTTGTCAACTAGTAAAATTGTCAACATTATATTTATAAATCACTCGTAAAAACATTTGTTATTTTAATGGTTAATATTTTGATAAATTTAAATCAATGTTGTAAACATATTTATAACATATTTATGTTATTGTTATTTCTGTAAATTGTGTCAAGTGTTGTTTTAAAGTAAAATTTTCAAAATATTTCGAAAAAAATTGTATTAATAATTATATATATTAATTAATTATAATTATATATTAATTAATTATCAATTATTAATAATATAATTTATTATATTGCAAAACTTTTTAAGCAACATCTTAAATTTTTATTAATATTTTAATTAACATTGATTTAAATTTAAATTTAATTATTATTTCAAAATATTATCTATTAATAATATTTGGATGATAAAATTTGACAAATTTAGATTTTAATCTTTCGGGCAATTCTTCGTTTAATAAAACTAGGACATACATGCTTGCGATATTCGTGCGTCTTTTTTTCTTTTCTTTCTTTTCTTCCCTTTTAACACTTTAAACTTTAAACTTGTCAAACAGTTGTTAAAGTAAAGCTGTTAAAATACTCTCTATGACAATCGATAATAAACAAAATCGTCTACGCGAAGTTGGTGCGTAGATAAACCGATCGATAACCGATGACAACGAAAAGAGGCTTCAAAAGTAAATAACATGCCTCTTTTAAGGTAAGGTGACATAAACTTAAACCTATACGTCTTGAAAATAATAATACCCTTCGTAATTTTCCTAGAACCGATAATATCTTTTTACAGTTTTAGAGTTGATCAATCACCATGTTAACGATTGATAATTTCACCATTGCTCTAGCTCGATTTGGTAATCGGTGAAGTAGCGGTCTCATCTTTCTCAAAAAATATTGGATCTCATTTCTTAAGGGAATCATCGTTCTTCTCATTGTTCCCGTAATTCTTTTCCGTCGTTTTGTCTTCTTCCTCTTCACCGTAACATTTTTTGCTTCAAAATATTGTTCCTCGTTCACCTGCATCAAATTAAAATTATTCAAATAATCATTCGCAGATGTAATTACAAATATATATAATCTAGCACTAACCTGCATTTTAACTTTGTCCTCCAAAATTTCCAAAGATTGCGGAAGTATTTTTTCCTCCTGCAAATCTATCTCTTCTTCATTGGAGTTTAAATTTTCCTCTACAGGTTCTGGAGATATCGATAGAAGCTCCACTAGACTTTTGTCCACATTTTGATTCGTATTTTGTAAAATAATAGAAGTTTGATTGTTGTCTTTCACCCAAATTTGCTGCTTACTCGAACTATTCGTTAAGTTCTTTGTTTTATTCCGTTTTTTTATTGTTGAAGATTTTTGCTGCTGCTGTTGTTGTTGCTGTTGCTCTTGTTCCGGTAGATTTATCTTTATTAACAGTCCTGGCGGAATACTTGATAAACTGTGAACCGGTATTGGAGTACCCAGAGTTGATATGTCCCCAGTAAACGGCACTATAATCTTCTTGATGCCTCCTTGAATATTATTTGTAACATTTGAGGCGACATTATTGACGGCAACTGACTGGAATTGATGTCCCAACTGAGTCTTCCAGTTAGGCGGAAGCGGCAGCTTCTTAATCACCCTATTTTCCAAATGAGTAAAATCAGGTCTAGGGATATTAATAGAAGTTGGTCTTCGAGATTTCCCCCGTTTCTTCGCCAATGGTGTGGGCTTGTTATCAATCTTGGGTTTCTTGCTGGATACAAGTGGTCTGGAAAAGCGTTTGAAGGCTTTGGAAGGATCTTTACTATCCTCTCCGAGATCTTGATCATCTTCATTTTGCTCCGCAACAGTCTCAGGTTCGGATATGTCCCTGATTGTGGGAACTGCGTTGCACGGATTTAACTTATGAAAGTTTTGATCGGTCTGAAAATGTTTGGAGCACAGCACAAGCTTGCGTATCTGATTGGGGGACATTTTAAGCAAATCCTCGCGGCCCAAGAACTGACACCAGCGCAAACAACGACCAATTTCATACGCTGGAAACGGGTGAAACTTATAATGTTCAATTTTGTTCTTCGGATCTGACCTCAATCGACCACAGGCTGCACAAGCCTGGCTCTCCAGCACTTCAGTAGACAGCGGTTCCAGTCTTTTATATTTTTCTGTAAAATCGAAGAGACTTGTCTGACTCTCAGTCTGCAATTCATTAATAGACTGTTCCGATTGATCCACTTCATCTGGATTACGAATACTTGGAATCGCGTTGTCTACTAATCTACCCTTGAATCCTGGAACAAACTGGGAGCGATCAAAATGTTTGGAACAAATGTAGCAAAAGAGGATTTCCTTTCTCGTTAACCTGTAATAAGAGTCTATCCCAACAAAATCCAGCCATTTGAGACAACGAAACTCTTCTCCAGGAAAATGATGGAAAGTTGTGCCATCGTAATCTGGTGGAGGTGGATCTTTTCGTGCTCTTCCACAAAGAACACACGTTATATTGTACAAACTCTGCTTGGGATCGTAGACCGATGGAACTGCAGTGATATATATGCGATTCCAATAATCAGCAAGAAAGTCTTGAGGCTGGAAATGTTTAGAGCAGACCATACGCTGAAGAAGTTGTTTTTTCGTGAGTTTGTAGAGATCTTCACGTCCGCAGAATTCGAGCCAACGACGACAACGTGGCTCGTCCTTCACTGGAAAACCAAAAAACATGTACTCTTCCTGACGATTGTTTAGATTCATACGCGACCGACCGCAGACAACACAGGGGTGCGGCATGGTTGAGACCTATTCTCTTATAGATCAAGTGAATCTAATTTATAATAAAAAATCAGGTGGTTTTCACATCCTTCATCTTCATAACTTGGATTTGAAATGATGTAAATTCTTCTCTTCATTTATACAGTAGTTTCCAAACACAAGGAAATCTTCACATCTTTTTCTTTTCATAATTTACAGTTAAAGTTGACTCTCAAAGGTCAAGTAGCTTTCCAATCTTTCTTTCTATAGTTTAAACTTAAAATTGCGATCCTCGGATTCTTCCTCTTCATAATTCATAATAAAATTGCAATTTTCTTAATTTTAATAGTCTTTAAATTCTGCCTGTTCATGCTCCACTGTATAGTTTGATGCAAGAATTTCAATCTAAGTTTTCTTTCGTTACAGCTGAAAATAATGAGATATACATTAAAAAGATGTTTACATTAAATAAATAAGTAAAGAAAAATGGAAAAAAATTATAAAAATATTAGTCAATATTTAATATTTGTACTATATGTGAAAATAAATTATTCTATTTTAATCTTGTTTGTTATCATTAAAAGAAGAGGTTAAGTTTCAGAAAATGAAAAGAATTTGATTTAAAAACATAGTAGTATCAATATTTAGATCAGTATCAATTTAAAATTAATTGTATTATTTCTCTTACAATTTGAAATTTGTGATGTAACTTCTTTCAGATGATTTTGTAAATTGTAAAGTATTTTAAACAGCACGTATACATGTCCAATTTTGAAGATTTTTAAACAATTAATAACACTAAACAAGCACTTCACAATTGTTATTTCAATAAAATTTAAAAAGGAATATATTTAAACTATTAAAAAGATAATATAAAATTTATTTTAAGAGTATGAAGCACTTGTTGCGCTTTCGAAACTATGAGGTTTATATTACTAAACTCTCCGCGTCCAGAACTTAACCTGCAAATGTCACAAACAGTTTGACAGTTCTTTGTGGTTAGGAGCTCTTTCAAATATCTAATATTTATCAATATTTGATAAATAAATAGTTCAAAAAGTTTATACTTACATATTTTTTATTGATAAAGCAAAAATTTACAAGATGGCAGAGAATGTAAATAATCCATATGATATTAATGGACAACATTTTGATTCAAATATGTATTTTCAAAAATTGTTGAAGGTGAGTTAATTTGAATAAATATTTTTAATACATTATTTTAATACAGAATAAATTAAATTAAATTATTAACGAATGCGTAATAATTGTTAATAATAAAAGCATTAAATAAAATTTTAATGTATACAACAATAAACAATGCCATAAATCAGTTATTTTTTACTTTTCTTAGTACTTGATATTTTTTTGGGTTCTTAATATATAATTTTAATTTCTTTTTGCCAGGAATGCACTTTAAAGCAAATTATGGATCATGAAGCTGAGATCATAAAAAACACTCAGACTTTAAATTCTGATATGCAGACTTTAGTATATGAAAATTATAATAAATTTATATCTGCTACTGATACTATTCGCAAGGTAAGATATTATTCAAACAATTATTAGATATATTTCTAATTTTAAGTATGATTTTTAGATGAAAACAGATTTCAAAGAAATGGAGAACAGCATGGATCTCTTGGCAGCAAATATGGACAGCATCACTTCTTTCTCAGAAAAAATTTCTTCAACTTTACATGGGACAAGACAACAAATTGCTAAACTGTCCTCTGTTCATACTCTGTTGAAGAAATTGCAGTTTCTCTTCAAGCTACCTGGCAATCTGAAAGATAAAATAAACGAAGAAAACTATGCGCAAGTATGTACTTAAAACATTTTTATTTCTAAATAGATGTGTAATGTAATAAATTAATACAATATTCTTTATTTTAATCTTTAATTCATAATTTATAAATAATTTTTTCAGGCAGTTCAAGATTATGTTCATGCACAAAGAGTTCTCGATCAATATAGTAACATGCCATCTTTTCAAGGCATCCAAAAAGACTGCGAGGACATTTTAGAAGAACTGAAATCTAAACTCAGATTACAGTTTCACAAAAGAGATGCTTCTACTAAGGCTCTTGCCGAAAATGTCGATCTTTTGCTGAAATTAAAAGAACCAGCTGATTCTTTATGCACTGAATTTTTGACGCACGCTGAGAAACGGTTGACAGAACAATTAGAGATCTTGAAAGTTATGTGTGAAAATGACATTATCGAATTTGTAGACATGGCTTCTTCGGGATTTCTTAGTGATTTGTGTTTAATTGTGGACTCTTACAATGATTTATTTATAAATCGATCATTGGAAGATAATGATTTAGTTGATGATTTTGAAATAACAGCTATGAATCATTTGAATAAGTTTGTTGTAAGCAATATGAAGAAATATTTTGATTTAATAAGCAAAAGAGTGGAAGATGTGGCCGATACAGCAATTTTGGTGAGAGCTCTTGACAGATTTTATCGCAGGCTACAAGCGATGAATACATTATGCAAAGAAACGGACTTTGCCAGGTGATAAAGAAAAAGAGAGACATATTGAAATACAATAAGAATAATTTGTGACAAAATGCATAAGTAGTGTGTAAAATGTATTAGTAAATAATATGGAATAGAAAATAAAATAAGTAACATGATACACTACTCTAGCATGTTAATAAAAATTTGAAATAATTATTTTGCAGGATTGGAACGGATATTATTGTGAATGCTGGTCGCAAACAATGTCGCAATCATTTGCATAGTCTAAAGCAACATTTGAGTGAGACTTTAGCTAAAGTAAGACAGACATTAGCTACCAAAGTCACACAGGATGGAGATGGCGGTTTGGCAGAGCTTCAAGCAATGCTCATCATGCCTACCATTGAAAAAGTTAAAGGAGTTTTGCAGGATTTATTGGTTTGTATCTATTATACCACTTTTATTGTTTTATTAATAATATAATGATGATCGATAGAGATTTAAATTGCTTATCAAACTTGTTTTTTCTAGGCATTTTTGCAGCCAGATTTGACGTTTAGTCCGAAAACGCAGTTTCTGCAAAGTTTTTGCGTGGATGAAGTGAGAGAAGGATTAGTGATCGGTTTTCTGCATCATCTTACTGCTACAGCAGCAGGATTCTGCAATGGATCTGATGTGCCGAAATTTCCGCCCACCTTGTTGCTTCTGCTTAGCAAAATGTGCCTTGAGTACAAGGAGAACAATGTCCGTCATTTGGTACGTAAAACAATTGTTTTAACGTGATTTTTGGACATGGTAAATAATTTAATATCTAATATAACATATGATTAAAATAAATAATGTATTTGCTTTGTACCATTTGATTTAATGTAGCTTACGACTACTGACGACCTCTTCAGCATTGTTCAATATACATCTTCAGAGAACATTGTAACTCACGGATCAGAAATGTGCGATCATTTTCAAGAAGCTGCTCAAAAATTGTTGAATCACTACGTGCGAATTCAGGGACTAGCAGTTTCCCAAATGTTGAGGAAATCTGTAGAAACTAGAGATTGGCTGCATACGATTGAACCGCGAACCGTGAGAGCCGTGATGAAGAGGGTTGTCGAAGATGTAACTGCCATTGATTCCCAAGTCGCCGCATTATACGATGATAACGATGGTCAAGTAGATAGAAGTAGCGACAGCAGCAGGAAGACTCATAGGTATATAAAAGACACTTAGCTGAACATTTTTTTTCAATTACATACATTTTTCCAGAAATTCTCTGAGAATTTTATATGCAACAAATTATTAGATCTTTGAATTTTTGAAATCTTTATCATTCTTTAATTGTTAGATATTTGGAATGTAATAAAATATATGTTTATTTTAGTATTAGCGTGTCGAGGCATCACTATAGATCAAATTGGTCATCCTATACATCCAGCCACATCGATTCTTCTCTTGTGACGAACATTCACAAGCTATTCTCTGAACGAATCGAAATCTTTTCGTCAGTGCAATTCAATAAGGCGTCCATTCTAACAGGAATTATTAAGATTAGCTTAAAGGTGATATTAAATTGTAATATATTACTTTTTGAATAATGTGTATGTATAGTAGTTTAATTTTTATGTATTACTTTATCCATTATTCATTAAATCGTCAGTTTTAATTTACTATTTTTGTTTTTACCTTTTATATTATTTATCGAATCGTGAATTTTTGTACACCATCTCTTTATTTCATTATATCATTATCAAATTATTATTATTTTGTAAAATAGCGGTGAAAATTTCTGTGGAATAATATTTTTAGCAGATAATGTACTAGTAATGATCGCTCAGGTGGTGCAGAGTGGTTGCAATGACAAAATAGCATGGCTATTATCCACTTTGCGAAGTTGATTCATCCTACTAACTCTGCCATCATTCGCTACGCATTATATCTCATGCTTTTACTATTTGCTTACAATTGATGCTATACAATAATTAAATTAGTAATTATTCTTTTTCAATAATAATATTCTAATACTTTATGCTTTTCTGCGCACAGACTTTCCTCGAATGCGTGAGACTACGAACGTTCAGTAAGTACGGCTTGCAACAAATTCAAGTGGACACACATTATTTGCAACTTTATCTGTGGAGATTCGTTTCGGATGAGAAGTACAATTTCAGTTTATATTAATTCTTCATAAACATTTAAAAATATATACTTACATTAATATTGTTTGCAGTGTGGTTTACTTTTTGCTGGACGAGATTTTGGGTAGCGCGGTGCACCGATGTCTGGAACCAGTCTTAATGGAACCCAGCGTGGTAGACATTATTTGCGAACGAGGTTGATTCATGAACAATTTCAAATTGTCTTGTGCAATTGCATATATCAGTGTAATATCACAGAGGGTACGATACGTTATATAGTTTATAAATTAATAAATTACTACAATGATCATAATCAATTAAACATATATTGTAATGTATAGAAGAATAAAAGTAATATATTTACAAACTAGAGACATTTTATGTGCAATAAATAGCTGCGTTTAAATTCTGCAAATATTTCTGCAAGCATTTTTAGAATTTATTTAACATTACAGTCCGAAAATTATTCCACAGACTTGCTTTCATTTTTCTGTGATTTGTAATACTCTCTAATTGATAAAACTATCAATTGATAGCGTTTTATGGTCTATCAGTAAGTAATTTTCTTTAAGCAAATTTTTATTTTATAATTTTATTAAAGTATTGTAAAGAAAGAAAGACGCGGAGAATCTAAATTACCTTAATAAGAGACTCCGCTTCATACGTCACGCTCCTCTTTTCTTCATCCTCCTTTACATTGCGAAGACGGTTTGCTATTCTTTCCTTTGATTGTCCCCACCTATATCTTGCTCAAAGTATAAAGCCATTAGGTTTAGTGCGCGGTGTAAGAAGCAGTACAGGGTCAAACGATTTTAATAAGTCTTAATTCTTGTTCGCCACATTCTATACTTTCGAACTTTCCTGCCGAGCTCGTTTCTTTAAAATTTTTTAAAAATTAATTTTTGTTTTTTTTTTATCTTTGTCCTTATTGCATTTTGTCATTCAATTCATTTATTACATTTGTATCAAGTATTTATTTCACGTGACGATTATTGAACACACACGCATTTTCAATACAGTATTATATTCCGCTGGAATAATCCATCAATCAAGAGACGAACGGGGTCGCGATAAGTTTATCGTTTGCATGGGGTACCAGAGAGAACTTGTAGCCCCTTGACAGTGGTTACTCTCGACTTAATTCGGACTTCCTCTCTCTTGGGATGAGATTCATTCGGCGAGTATCCGGCCTGAGCCCACGCACCACACATATTATACCCAATTTAATAATACTCGCTTCCCTGAATTGCTCTTGGTAAGCCTGGTCAAACTTTAGTCTTGAATTTTTTTCCGAAAATATTCTTTTTCTGATAATTATTTTAATTAGTGATTTTTTATCTGTAAAGAAGATATTTTTTCGTGTTTACCGTTACATTGTTACGATGAAAAAAATTCCAACATATGGAACACTTTTATAAAATAAACATTCCCTGATAATCGAGTAATACGTATTACGTGAAGATTACACGATTCTTTTATAAAAGTGTGTTCACAACTCTTATGAAATGTTCCTGATTTTTCCAATTAAATTAAATTTATAAAGGCGTAAACATGTGTTTAATTAATCAAGATAAAACGATAAAAATAATAATTTTCAAGTAATTTACGGAAAAACAAGATATATATAATTTAATAAATTCGATGTAATATTTTTCACATTCTTCAGAATTAAAATTTTCAAATATACATACGTCTTTCGTTTTTATTTTTTTTTAAAACTTATCTGACAGTGATTATTGATGACAAGCTGATATTTTATATGCAACGACTCAAATAATATATTATGCGCAAATAATGTACGGAATATGAAAAAAACAAAAATAAAAAATTTTACGATCAAGGCAGTATCAAATTGGATCTATTTGAAGACTGTCGAAGAAAGATCTCGAGCAGAAAAACGATATTAAAAACAGACGGACATGTGGCAGCAGACACACGTGATATCTTGAGAAACACCTGTGCATGCGTAACTCGGCGACAATTTCCCGTGGCATTCTACTCAAAGCTGCTGTCACATATAGATAGCAACGTATCGTACTCCTACGACGTGTCAAAGTGAATCATTAGTTATGTGAAGCGCTTGTGTGAAGCCTGGAACAAGTTCACATGTTTTCTAAAAATTATTTGTATAAAATATTTTTAATATAACGTAATATGTGTAATACTATAAAGCCAGCTTTTTAGATAGACGATTTCTTACCTTGAGTGAACAGTAGTTAGTATTTAGATTTGAGACTTTTTGGAACATTGTCTTCTCTACAATTTCTCAAAGCTTTTTTTCGCACACGAGGCTATCATTTATTCATACATACTAAATAAGAAATGACGAATGGAAGAAGAAAAAAAGGATAATCAGTATTGTGTAGTAATATTGCTTCACTTCGATAAAATAGACCCGCATGGGAAAGCTGTGAATCATAAAATCACAATGGTGTTCAAAGTGTCTGAATATAAGGGCGTGATGTGCAATAGGATTCCTCTCTCTCTCTCTCTGTTATACCCTTATATAATTTTTATTTTTAAAAGTAAAATTTGTGCTTATCATCGTTTTTCAATTCATGATTTTTATGGCATTATTATATTATATTTCTACAAATAACGCATGTTTATTTAATACATAAAAATTGGATAAAAATATTTTATATACTAATTTAATTTACTGAATCATTAACTTTAATTTATAAAATTAATGTATTAAAATTATTAATTTTTATTTAATTAATTATTTTGCTAAATTACTATTTTTTAACTTACAAAAATAATTTTTTTAAGTGAAATATATTTTTAGATCTTTGTCTTAGATTAATGTTTTAAATAAATAAATTGATCATATTATTTCAAATTTAAAAATAATTTATATCTTTTTAAATAAACTAGTTTTACATAGTATCACAATTTTTATATCTAAAAGTTTATTTTTGAAACTTACCTGGTTGTTATCATCATCATTATTGTTATCTAATATAACTTTAATTTTACGTTATATGTTTCAGATTCTCAAGAAACAATATTCATTTTGCGATGAAAATTGCAAGAGAGATATTTCGATTTGTGACCGTAACAATGGGCGAAATATTATTTAAACACTCGTTGCTGCGTTCACAAATCTAACTATCCCTTTCCCATCTGACAGTCATAGATATATATGTAGATAAACTTAGAAGTTACATAACGCGTATGCTTAAAAAAATTGACCAATCACGTGGCATATGGTTCATGCGTTATGCAACTTGATGTGGACATACCCTAAATCATCTTTTTACAAATAAATCTTACATATCTAAAACTATATAACAACGCATACACATCTAGTTATTGTATATAGTTAATGTATAATTTGTGATACAAATTTGTTTATGTATTGTTGCATGAATATTTGAGTTGATTGTCGAAGTTGGGCGAAGTTTAAACGGATTGATTAAAAGGTAAAATTTTAGCAGCTTATTTACGTGCTAAGTAGTAGTGCCGTAGGTGATGATTTAAAAAATTCACCTCGGCACGATTACTTCACATGTAGTGGGCGCAGGCAACATCGATGACAAAGTGTCTGGAGTTGGAGGTCTTATAAAGCGCGCTTGGCTATTTTTGCGTGGTAATTTGTTTAAACGCTTAAAATAAATTATCAATCAATTAGAAATTGAAGTTATTGTTTGACTTAAATCATTAATAATTTGAAGAAACAATTCTAAAATTAAATAGAACATATTGTCACTTAATTCAGCACTGGACTATAAATTTCTTGAACTTTACTCTTTAGCATTTACCCGTTTTCGTTGCTATTGTTATCTTTTATCAAACTATTTTTTTTCAGTTAATATTAAGCGTATTTAATCTGTAACAAGAGCGCGCAATCTCGTCGCGAGATTTGAATGAGAGCCTTACCAGGCCGGTGAATAGTTTGATAACAGCTCTCCTCTTGACGGAAGGAGGGAGGAGGTAACAGGATCATTCGCCGTCGGTTGGCAGACCATTCAGTGCCGAGACCAACACTGATTTCAAGTGGTAAATTGACTCAGAACGAGTGGGAGAGAAAAAATGACGGCGTGGAGTGACCGGCGATGACGTCGCGGAAGTAGAAGGGAGAACAGTGACGTATTGGTATTAAAAAATACTAAATAAAAAGACAAAATTTTGATGAATATACAATATGAAATGAGCATACAATAAGTAATACTTAATATTACTTCTGTAAAATCAAATATATATGTCTTTATTCTCTTTTCTTTATAATATTGTTCATTTTTTAAATTCTATTTTTTTAAATTTTAGTTTCTGTTTACCTCTCTTATTGCATTAAGGGCTGAGAATTTGCGGTTGCGTCGCTGATAGGAAAGGAAGGGTTTGAAATACGGCAAGAAGACAACGGAGAAAGATGACGCTGTCACAGAGAACAGCAGTAGCCGTGGATGTCTTCTCTTCGTCGTCGGACGGTTAATAGGCAGTGAACGCTGTTTGAATGCTTAATGCAGTGCGCATTCTAGGATTAAATTGACCAATCATTTCCCGCGCGCATCGCAGAGGCAATTGCGCCGCGCGCTCGCGCGCTCTACTATATCAAGTCAATCAATGGCACTTAGCGCTCAGTTGCCACCGCGCCACTGTGCAGTTCGTATTATGACAAGTTGAATTGTGTATCCGCGTGCATCATTATATCAAGCTAATCGAGAGCGCACTATGCTCTGTCGTTGCGCGCTTCATTAGTGGAGTTTGATTTTTTTTTTTTTGCTTCTGTTGCGTGAAATTAAAAACGCGCGCGCGCGTGCGAGAATAAAGCTACGATTCAGCGCATTCAGTGAACGAACGGAGTGAAGGAATGCACGTGAGGAGTCGATTATATTAGTCTATAATGACGAAAAAATATTTTATTGGGCTTTCACTAAAAAAAGAACTTGATATTTTCTTGCAGATTACTTGCTCTTGTACGAAGTATTATAAAATTTTCGGTCAACTTCAGAACTTCTCGGTATTGAATTCTCGCATGTCAGAAATCTGCTGACAATGTAATGTTCTTTTCAAATGTTCAAGATTAATCTTCAGGGTTTTTTGGATTAATTTCGAGATTAGTTTATAATTGGATTTATATTCAAGTTAATATTTAATGTGATTTTGATTTTGGAGAACCTTCAAAAATCGAACATTCTAGATCTTTCGCGAACCTTCTGGATCTTTCCAGAACCTTTCGAAATCGAACATTCTAGACCCTTCGCGAACCTTCTGGATCTTTTCAGAACTCTTCAAACTCGAATATTCTAGACCTTTCGCGAACTTTCTGGACCTTTAGAATGTCTGAGTTATTTGTTATTTATAAGACATGTCATAGACTTTTTTTAAATTCTTATTAAATGTTAACTATAACAGATTATATATAATAGAATAGAATATATGTAATTAAATATGCCTGTATTATATGAGAGAAAAATTTCGCAAATAATTACTCGCACATGTGTAGAAAAGGGTTAAAGGTTACTTACGATTTCCTGCGATTGTTTCGACATAAATACGGGAATCGCATTCTTGAAATATATTACGAAGAATAATCGCATTTAGATTAAATATAAGGAAATCATTATTTTTAACGCGAGTTTGAATTAATGATTTTAAGGATTAACGAGTTATTTTTTTCTCTTTTACTGTTATTTAATTTTTTCTACAATTACTATTATAATTTTTTATTATTTGATTTTAATTGTTTTTTTTATTCTGAATTTTTTTCTTTTCTATATTATTAATCTTTAATTTTTAGATTAGTAATTTTTACTAATTAATAATTGTTTCAAAATTGTTTTAGAATGTTTTATTTCTCTTCTTGTTGATCTTCCATCTTGAAGAGCATGTCGAATTTAAAAGAAGTATTTTGTTATTCTGAAGATATGCTCTGCTCCTTACTGCTCTTCGCTCTTTATCGCGATGACTTCTGAACCCTCGCACGGATGATAGGATAGTGCATAGGACGCGAGAGGAAAGATATGACTAGGGTCAAAATACCAATAATGTGTTCTGTGAAAAGTAGGTAAGTTGAAAAGAAACTATTAGGTATTAGAAATATTTTTTGATAATTACATAGTGCCGTTTGATCGATGAAATTAATCTTGTTATATTTGTTAATTTCTTTCTAATAATTATTAATATCGAGAATCAATTACATAATATTATTAATCTATCATGTTTGAGAGCGAAATATTTTATATTTTTTATTTTCTAAGATTATAATTTTCTTAACAGTGATGATGTTGAGCCAATTAAGCAAATTGCATAAGAAATTTATAATTTAATCTTATTCTAATAATTACAGTAATTATTATTACGCTTTTATTTATTATTCAAGTTTTTCGTCTCTGCAGTTTCGGCAAAAATTATTTGTTTGCAATTGACGGATACAGTATCATCCGTTTCATTGCGTTGAAATATCAAGATTTAATGTTGTATCGTAAAAAGTTAGTATCGAATGATACTAAGTGTGTTCTTGAAAAAAAAATAAAGATTTTAGGAAGTAATAATTAAAATAAAAATTTGTGTTTAGAAATTGTAATTAAAAATTTTTAATTAAGAGTTTATGAGTCTAAAATTTTAAATATTTAATGATTAAATAGTTTATTTATTAATAAAAACAAAATTGTGTTTTTTCAGCAAAATCATATTTTCTCGTCACAAGTATCTCGTTATTCTTATCATTAATTTATAATAGTCCCATTTTTTTATCTCTCTTTCATTCCACTCTTCTTAATACGCTTAAGCACCGGTATATCATTAAATGTTCCCGCAGAAACGAGTCATTTTCAAATTGAGGGGAGCAGCGTTTGACGAACGTCACGAAGGACCACCGGCATTAGCAGAAATTAGCGTTAATTGGCACCCTCTCCCCCCCATGTCGTCTTATCCCACGGCTAGTCCCCTTTTTTTCGTTGTCTCTCGGTTTTTCGCGCTTTGCAACTATCAACGCCAGAAAAACGTCGTTTCTGTCTACAGGGTGTCTCGTTATTATTTAATAAATTTGGAGTTGATCTGTTCCGAATAAGGAAAGTTTTTAAGGAAAAAACAAACTAAAATAGAAGTAATATTTTTTAAAATACCAGAATTATATTATAACATTAAAATTAAATTAAATCAAGTTAAGTAATGATACAGATGTGATAAAAAATTCTAACTAAATTTTAGAAATGTAATTTTTTTTAATTTTTGCTAATGTTACTTGTTTACTTAATGATTTTAATGCTCTTTTCTTATTAATTTTTCCTGGGAAACAGCAATTTTTGAGTCACCCTGTGTGCATACATGTGTTGCATACGACATGCTATACGTTGCAGCTGAATCTGCAACAGCGGCGTCTCTAATCCTCTTTGGCAAACGATTAAAACTTAATCCAAGCGACGTTAAAAATAATAAGCAATACAACACGCACTGTTTTCTTAACCCTTTCGCTATCATTGGTATACAGATGGTTCAAAGAATTAAAAAAAAAATTTATTTTAATCATAATTCCGGCTGGTTTTCAGTTGGAAACATTTTAGTAGCATTTTACGTTATGAAATGGCATGTATTAATGTGAGATTTGTATTATAAATTTGTTGTATGTATCATATTTTTGATTATAGACAAAATATCCTTGATATAAATTTTTTTCCTGATTTACTTTTACCTAATACTCGTTTGTACATTCCTCGTTACATCGTGAGACAGGGTAATTTTTTAATCTGCACATTCTACATTCTTATATTATTGTATCATATGCATTCTTGATGCCCGAGCGCGATTTCTAGCTAGGCTATGAATGATGAATAGGACGTTTCATGAAACGAGAAACGCTCGTTCAACAGAGATACACAAAGAAATCAAAGATTCAATTGTACTCTCTTTCCTTCGTTCTTTCATTCATTCTTTATAATATCAAATGCAACTGCACAAAATGCGTAATTGATGCATAAATATAATGTTACGTAATATTTCCTTATCATAATATTATTTCTAAAAATAAATGAAGAAATTTAAATATAGGATGTAAAAATTTAATAGACTCAGTAGTTGCGAGACAGATTACATGAAAGATAACAGTGCGATAACGAAGAAGGTTTCTGATATTTCTGAAAAGCTGTCACAATGAATAGTGAAAGAGGAAAAGAAAGATTATTGAGAGGAAAGGGGAATACAGTGGGCGACTTTAATGACTTCTCGAGGTTGTTTCAATATAGTGCGACTGTCTGCCATTGCATCATCATTATATAGCGGGTGTCTGATTAATACCTGCCGACAAATTCTTTAATAATTTCATAAATAACTTTCTTTTAGCGAAAATGCGGCGAGAAATTAAAATTTTATATATTTTTGAATTTTTTATAAGTATATTTTTATATAAAATATATTCCTACTTAAAAAAAATTGTGTTTATCATTATATTCATTGTGTAATCGAATGTATCATTTTCTAGAGCTCTGCCTTTATTTTAAGTAGGAGCGCTAACCAGAAGAGGACACAGGAAATCCTAATTAATCCTAATAAATCCATTGCCGGTAATATTGTGTGGGATTAGATAATTGACGAAGAAACTCGGTAATTCACGGATATTGCGTGACATGCTCTTCTTTCATTACTTCACGAAATAAACTCATATAGGATATTCTGTGTGAATGATTAATAGCAGATGCGACAGTAATATTCTATATAATAATGTGCCGAATTTATTGAAGAATCCTAGAGAATTCAATAGAAAAGGTAACTCAATTTATGTCTTATTATTAAATATAAAAATTCCAAGATCAATAATCTATGTTCTACATTCTTTTATATTTTTTATAATTTATATATATATATATCCTCCTTTTGTTTGCAGGAAGTGTTCAGTAACAATTCTTCAAAGATTCAATATAGAGGACAAATTGAGTCCTGTTGCTCTTTTAAACAAATTTTAAATTATAATTGTAAAATTTTTTACTTTAATGTTTTCTGTTTGCTCTTTTTTTTGTTTTATAATGTATTTTGTTTGCAGAAGCTGTTGAAGGATAATCTTTGAAGCTACATTTGGAAAAGGAAACCTAAGTCCTGTCCTGTTCCTAAGTACTAGTGCCGCAGGAGTGATTAGGCTGGGCAAAACGTTACCGTATCTCCTGCTGCTCAAGTGCTTATCAACGGGTCGGGACGCATGTCATCTTTTATTTACGATCTAGATTTAAGAAACGACAGAAGCACTTCAAAGACTTGTTTCATTTGATTTTATTTCGAAAACATTGCAAAGCATATTTTTAATAAAAATAATTATTTCTTTTCTTCATCCTAATAACATTCTGTTGTAATATAATGCAATAATATTAATAATCGTAGTAATATGATAAAAATCATTATAATGTAAATCAAAGGAATGTATATATTTAAGTTGATATATTATATAAGAAAAAATATATTCTTATAATTTATGATAATTTATGTTAATATTAACTTGTAATGATATAGGTATATAATTTATTTTATTAAGATATTGAGTTTAGATTTAAGCTATGTCAAAAAAGTTTAAATATTAAAAATAATGAAAAATGTTTAAACAAATTTATATTTATGCAATGTATTTTTTCTTATAAATATAAACAAACATATATCTCCGACAATTATAATTCAATTTTAGCACTCCTTTTTATAAAATTTAATTTCTTTAACCTAACTTTATTAAATTGTAATAAAAAGTAAACCTTTACCTTATTATTCCTCAAATTTATCCAGTTTTAGATTTGTTGTTCATTCACTTGCAATCTTTCTTTCCTATTTTTCTTAGAATCTAAGAGCACTTGAATAAATATTCATTTTTTCTATATCTTATCACATTTAAGTATAAAAAGCATAAAAATATAAATTAATAGAAGGTTAATATGTTTACGATTTGATGAGTTCCGAAACTCACGAAACAAAAACGTATTAGAATTTTAAGGTATACGCACATAATCATGCATAACTGCACACTGCATAAGTAAATAAACCAATTATGTGTTAAATATTGGGCTTGTTCGTTTTAGCTACACTGGGGCTGCTCTGGGTCTGCTCTACACAGGATAATACAGAACAGATAAATAGTTTGTCCTGTATTATCTTGTTTAGAGCAGACCCAGAGCTGCCCCAGTGCAGCTAAAACGAACAAGCCCATAAATTTACGATTAGCCACACGAGCGGTCAATTTTCTTACGTCTATAAGCCTTGCATTATGCAAATTTGTATGAATATATTCTTAAACGTGCAGTTTTATATTGGATACAGCCTAAATTCCCTATAAATTCTAGGAAAAGTTTAGCGTGTAGTGGCGAACCTGCCATGCACATCCGTTCTCTGTGATCTAGTGGGCTAGTCGCATCGCGTACTCTTCCGTTCGTTCGTCTCCGTCTGCTTACCTGCATGTGTGTGACATTTTTTTACATAGACCGTTCGCACTGCTGCAACATGTTTACCTGGCTAAGTCGCCGCCACTGTTATTGTCAGCAACCCGTCGTTGATTTCAGTATGATATCCACGTCACCTTATCAGCAGCATTAATTCTCAGGTATGTGAACTGTGCTCGGCGCCGAGCGCCGCGGCGCCCCGCCAACGCCAACGGCAAGCGGCGGCGCGCCCTGACGAGTCTGTTTACGTAGCAATGGCGAAGGCTCACCTCGTCGCCGTCGCTATCGCCGTCGCCGTTGCTGTTGTCGTTATCGCCACGATGCCGCTGTAATACTTTTCACTTCTTCGCTTTTTTTACCTGTAGAGAACGACAAGTTTAGCACTATCGGTTCGTCGGGAGGGGGAGGGAGGGAGTTATTTCAGAATTCCAAATTTTATTCTTTACATTAAATGTATATTTATTCAATGATTGTATTCACTTTTGATTTTTGTGTCTAGGGGAGAAAAGTATGTGCTTTTGTTGATAAGCTCTATCTTATTTTGTTATCACTACTTTCATGAAATACTTCGTGGTGGCTATATAATCTTACAGAAAAAATATAATTTGAGGCATTATTAAACTCTTTTAATAGTTTTTTGCTTTGCAGAATAAGAACTAAAATTTTGGTATAATAATTTTTGTGTATGTTGCATAATGATTGTCTATATACTATTTAGATTTTTAAAGCATTACATATTATCTCAGATTTCTAGAACAAAGCAGGAAGATAGTGAGATAGAGATAGCGAGATCATGGATGATGAAGAGCGTCTTGAGGGTGAAGAAGAAATGGAGTTGGATGAAGCTTCTGATGGGGAAGACGAGGATGAGGAGACCACAGGTATCCCTGTGTCTCCAGCCAACTCGGATCAATTGCTTGGGCAAACAACTCCAACAACTCCTGGTAACAGTAAGTAACTACATGCAATGCAAAATTGCTTTAACTGTTTTAATAATTTTTGGAAAAATGATTAGCATTGTATTTTTAGTCACAATATTTATAAAAACAATATTTAATTTTATAAATCAGTTATTTCAGATAATTTATTCTGTGATATATAATTTAGTATAATTTAGTATAATTTAGTATAATTTTATAGCACTACTTTCCTATAACATATACTTCAACAATATTCTTTTTTTATGAACATAAAAATAAACTTATAATTATTTTTTCATAATTTACTTTTTTACACAATTTTACACATAATTGGTATATTTACTTGTGCTTAACGTGATATAGCTATGCATGATTATTTATATATATATCGTAAAATTATAACAGGTTCTTGTTTGGTGAGTTTTTTTTTTTCAGAACGCATAAAAATCGTGTAAACTCATTAACTTTCAAATTTACACTTTGTATATTTTTTGTACTTGCATCTTACTTTTTTTCATTTTTAATGTAAAATATATACATTTGTGCATTTAATTTGTTTTATAATAATATATATTGAACTTATCTTCTTTTCTAGTCACACCAGAGGAGGTTTTTCATGATCCGATGCGGTATCAGAAGTTTCCACTGCCTGGAGGCAAACCTTTGAGTATTCGTCGTGGACCTGGTAGGCCTCGGAAAGAACGGCCTCTAGGTATAACTCGCGGAGGTGTTGCTAGAAGAGCATTTGGACGGGGTGGTACCCGAGGCAAAGGGTACTTATTATTTAATATATATAACAATCATATATATATATATATATAACAATTATAGATATTTATTTTTGTATATTGCATTATTTTATTTGTAGTACTTGGATACGCAAGAGGCATGCCACGGCGCACCAAGAGCAAAGATGACGACATGCATTCAGAATCACCTAGTCCTTTGCGCATCGGTGGGGCGGACGATGCCGCTCCTGACGGCAGCGGCGAGTCAGGGAACATGGCTGATAGGTCAATGCCAGCACCCGAAGAGCCTCCTTACTTTGCTGAACAATGGTAAAACATTCTACAATCTTCAATTATTTTAAAATAATTCTGAATAATTATCAATTATAACTTAATTGAAATTATGTGTAATTAAATTTTATAGAAAATGTTCTCTATCAATATTTTGCAAAGTAATTGTTTTAACGAGATTAGTAGAAAATAAATATACTAAAAAAAAATGGAATAAGTTCAAGTATTTTAAATAATATTGAACGCAAAATTATAAATTATTTATAGGCCAGGCAAGGTGTGCGCGTTATGCAATTTAGGCGAGAGAAGTCAGTTAGGGCAGGGCGAGCTTTTACGCTTAACATGTCCACCGGGTTTCACTCCCGAAAAGTCGTCGAATCGCGATGAAACTACTGATCATCTCGTCGACGTTGCTGCTACTGGAGATAAAAGTCCACGTACGGCTGGACCTGGAGCTGCTGTTACCTGTCGCAGACAAAAAAGTTTAGCCAAATGCAGGTGAGAATTGTGTTAGATATATTAATATTAAACCTTTCTGCAAACTCTATTACAGTCGAATTTTTTCGCGCTGTAATGTTATCTGTATTAGAATCAGTTGAGTGTTTATAAAATTCTTCTCATACTGATATTTGCTAATAACCACATAAGTACGCAAAAATATGTAGAATAAAGATGTTGTGTGCATAATAAAAATATTTTTATTTTATATATTTTTATTATATATATTTATTTAATGTAAATGTGTGAAAAGTGTAAGAACAATTTCTCTACTTTTTTTATTAAAGTTCTAAAATTTGACAGTATATGTAATACTAATTTATTGATATTTTTGATGCTAAGAAATTTTACAATTTTTCTCAATTTTCTATATATAATTTGAGAAAATTAAAATATAATTGGTTTTTTTCCATAGGAATACTAGTCTAACGAATTTCACGGAACCAGTGGAGGAGCTGACAATCGTAGGCTATTCGGAGGAACCAGAAATCGGGGCACTGTTTGAACCATCGACAGGTCATTATTACGTTCACCAGTCGTGCATTATCTGGTCTAACAACAGTCAAGATTTGGCGACGGAATCAACCTGCCGCGCTGTTCTGCAAGCTTCCTCCAGACGTTGCGCCTTTTGCTCACGTTATGGTGCCGGAATTTCTTGCAAAGTAAATCAATCTTATATTATTATTAATAGATTTATTTATATAGAATTAAAAAGAATAATATAAGAGATTTAAAAAATTACACAAAATTAGATAATTTTATATAAGTTTAAAAAAAATTGTTTTTATAACAGTTTGTGTTATTTCGACAGGTGCAATCGTGCAATCGTTATTTTCATTTCCCGTGTGCCGCAGCTAGCAGTTGTTTTCAGGACACTAAGAGCTTGGCTCTTTTTTGTAGTCAGCATCTTGGTCAAGTCCCGCTTTTGCGTAAGTCCTTCAATTCTAAACTTATATTTTATTATCCATATAAGAGATATAAGGCTCGTATGATAATATATTAATATATATTAAAAGATTTTCTCGAGCCATCGCTGGTTATATTTTATTCCTCGATTTTCATTGCTTAATCTTTAATACACATACATATATATGTGTGTGCTTATGCAATATGATAGTTAAAAAAAACTTAACTTTTCGTATACTTTATGTATCTCGATCTGAGATCGGTGTACAATTTAACTGTCTCATGTAGACTAATTAATTTCTTTAAGAAAAATTAAAATTTCGCACTAACATCCTGCGACGGCTCTTAATGCTCTTCTATTATAATGTATTTGATAGTTATCATATGAGCCTTTCCATTATATGTATTTTAAATAAAAAAAGTTGCATTTACAGTGAATGGGGAGGTGACTTGTGTGCAATGTTATGGAATGGGTGATGTATCGAATTTAGTAATGTGCTCGGTGTGCGGCCAGCACTATCATGGCAGTTGTGTGGGTTTGGCGTTGCTACCAGGGGTGCGTGCTGGGTGGCAGTGTGTCTCATGTCGTGTGTGTCAAGTTTGTCGTCAACCTGAGGATGTTTCTAAGGTTAGACAAAATTTTAAAGAAATATATAAATAAAAGAAACATTAATGCGTTCAAGCTTGAAATCATTGCAGGATATAATTCTAATAAGATTTTTTTATTATTAATATATAACACAATACACGCACATTACACTTTGATTTATTATAGAAACTTTATAGAAAAAGATATAAAGAATTTTGTAAAAAAAATATTATTTTGCTAATTCTTACTTTTAAATATTAATGTTTAATATTTTTGAAATGTATAATTATATATGACAACATTTTCTGGACAACTTTTAATGGACTTTTAATGGAAGATTATTGTAAAACAATTTTTGTAACAGGTGATGCTGTGTGAACAATGCGATAAAGCCTATCATCCCGGCTGTCTGCGGCCGATTGTCACTTCCATTCCAAAATACGGCTGGAAATGCAAGTTGTGCCGTGTGTGTACCGATTGCGGGTCGCGTACTCCTGGAGCTGGATTGTCTTCTAGATGGCATTCTCATTATACTGTATGTGATTCATGCTATCAACAGCGCAATAAAGGTTTCTCTTGTCCGCTTTGTAGAAAGGCATACAGGTAATTGAAATATCTTGTGCAATTTTGCAATCTCTTATATTTATTGTTTGCTTAATTATTTATTTTTACTATTTGCAGAGCTGCGGCATATCGAGAAATGGTACAGTGCCATGCATGCAAAAAATTTGTGCATGGCACGTGCGATCCCGAGGCTGATCCGCTCACCTATCAGCAACGCAAAGAGGCAAAGCCTGATTACGAGTACATCTGTTCAAATTGCAAGAGCATGGCTATTGTAGCCAGACGAAAGGACAGCATTGACGAAGGCGAATTGTGCCTGAGCGCTTCTCAAGAGAGTCTCGATGGTGAATCGTCTGAATTAGATTATCAAGGTGGTTCCGAAGAGGCGCTTTATTCGGTCGGATTGGGAAAAGGAAAGCCATTTTGCGCTACGAAGATCGCGAAAAAGAGGTTAGGAATTAGCGGTGGCATTATTGGTAGACCTAAAGGTATCGGGAAACTGGGCTACCAAAAACGACAAAAGATGACGGAATTTGGAAGGAAACGAGGACCTAAAGCGAAAATGAGAGGAATCTTTGGGGTGCCCGGAGTAGGTCTTCAGGTATGTGGCGATTGAAAAAGTTAATTTTTTTACATCGAATTTTATATTGCATTTTATATCAAGTTTTATTATTTATGACTTGTCTATAAAATAATTTATTACACACTCTTTTTGTGTTTCTTTTGTAATTTATTAAGCAGAATAATTTTCTACTTTAATATATACAAAATGTATATACAATCTAAGATCATTTTTTAATCTAATGCAGGCATATAATATTGTATCTCTCAGTTTTTTAATAATTGATCAACTAATCTTTATTTAACATTGCAGCGTCCGATGTCAGATTCTCAGTCAAAGGAGGACGAGCCTCCTGGTATGGAAAATAGACTTGTGCTTTGCTCGGCAAAGGACAAATTTGTTCTAACTCAGGACATTTGTGTGATGTGCGGCGCGATTGGCACTGATCAGGAAGGTTGTTTGATTGCATGTGCACAATGTGGCCAATGTTATCATCCATACTGCGTCAACGTGAAAGTCACCAAAGTCATACTGCAGAAAGGCTGGCGATGTCTGGATTGCACTGTTTGCGAAGGTATTAAAAAATGAAAGAATTAAAATTAATAGAAATGCGATTTGCCGGTTTTTAGTTCCAATCATTAGTTCAGTGTTAATTGCTTTATTCGGTCTTCTTCGAGTATTTTTTAAATCAAATTCTTGAAACTGTTTGTCCATGTTCATTCATTATTCATTCATTGGAATATTTTCTTTTTAAGGTTGTGGCGAGCGAAACGACGAAGCTCGCTTGATTCTCTGCGACGAGTGCGATATTAGCTACCATATCTATTGCATAGACCCGCCTTTGGACGTAGTGCCGCAAGGTACCTGGAAGTGCAAATGGTGCGCTCAGTGCCAAACTTGTGGCTCGAACGATCCCGGTTTTAACTCGTGCTGGCAGAAAAGCTACACTCAATGCGGACCCTGCGCTTCCCACACCTCTTGCGTTGTTTGTCAAGAAGCTTATCAAGAAGGCGATCTTATAATTCAATGTGTACAATGCGAAAGATGGCTTCATTGTCTTTGTGATTTAATCAGAAACGAGGCTGAGGCAGAACGATGTGCTGAAGAAGGTTACGTTTGTATTCTTTGTCGTCCTCGTGACGTTCCTCCCGCTCATCTTCTGTCGAAACCTCAGACAAAATTCTCCGCCAGATTGTCTCCTCCGCCGCAAAATCGAAGCCCGGAAATGTTTAAACAATCCTCACAGCAATATTTAATGGAAGGAGTTCACCTTTCCGAGGCTGGGATGAGTCATATCAAATCC